ACAACTTGTTCTCTCCCCAGTTTTTCATGATCCTTAATTCTCCATTAAGAAATTAAGTTATTTATTCTTTCTCCACTATTCACTTTTCAGTTTCCTCTGTTACCAAACTTAGGCTTTCCTCCAAGCTCCTGCATGGTCTGTGCCTTCTCAGGAACTCTCCAGGATGACTTGTTCTTCATTACAGAGGAACTGATGTTTGCTCTGATATTGAAATACAACACCCACCTGAATCCCTCTGAACAGTTAGCACATCCAGCCACAGGCAACTAATGTAAATCTGTGCTTTGTCTTCTGGTTTTTATATTTCTAGAATGCCTAAGGGGGTTGTATGATTTGATCACATTTATTTTCAGATAATAATTATAGAACACATCCATGTGCAGGTACAAATACTAATAGTAATAAAAAAAAAAAAAAAGATGGAGTTCTATCAACTTATAGTTATGATGAAGGTATAAAAGAAACAAAGCTGAGAGAGAGAAATATTCTGTGTTAAAGATTCTGTAATGAAAGCCCTGCCCATTCAAAAACCAGAGCCAATCTCGAGTACTTGAAAGTTTCAGTTCTTTCCAGTTCTCTTCACTGGTAACATAAAAGGTGTAATCTCTCTCTAAACCCTGCTTCTCTTGCAGGAGTGAATATACAGGTGGGTAATTAGTGAGAAGGAAACAGAGACATAAATAAAGGTATTTATTAAAAGACAGATTGATAGAACAGATGGAATGAACAGTTTGTGAAATACACAGAAAAAACATTTCTTGATTATTTCCCATATGAATCTGATGTCCTGATCATTCTTTTTTTTCAGCTGATTTGTGAATTTACTGAGGCAATTCAGGCATATCTCACATGCCTCTCCTGTTCTGCACATCACACACAGACCCCACCCGTTAGTGAGTACTAAAGAGATCTTTGAAAATGTAGTATGAGAATACTGAAATGACAGTAACTATACATAAGATTATGACTACTATTTAAGTAGTCAAGCTACTTTAAGGCACCCTAAGTGGAATATTTTTCAGGAAAGGTCATTATCCCAAATTTTAACGTTCTGAAATTCTCTCACAACCTTTGTAACTGAGCAAGAACAATAATGGAGGGGAGGGGGAATAATAATCATCATATACCTAAAAATAATGTGAAGAATTAATAATCTAGATTGCATAGAGGTCCAAAGAGAAATCACAGCATATTCTGCACATTTGAAACTGTGACAGAGCTTTCACTGAAACTGGCAATAGCCTTCATAAAACCTTCTTTTTCTTGGTGGCTTATATGAAGCCACAGCAAGGCCTTAATTCATTCCTAAAATGGTTAGGTGAAAACCACAACTCCTCCTTCCAGAGTGCAACTGATATTCAGGTCATTTAGTGCATTCAGCATTAAAAAGACACCTTGAGACAGGAAGATAAAATAAAAAAGTGTGCTAGCAGAAAGCTGTTGAAAGGAGAGTCTCTTCTTACAGGCTTAGAGTTGCTCTATAATTATGGCTTTAGGATTGCCCTTTGGAACCGCTCAGTCTTATTCTCTGTTGTCTTTACTGAATGATAATAAGGGCATGATTATGTGTAAAGTTTGCATTCTCAACTGATGCTGAGTGTGAGAGAGAGCAGAGCTCCTGCTGAATGACAATAAACCCAGGCATCTCCTATTTCTTCTAAAAATCACCCACTCCCCAATTAGAGACTGGTTTAGAAAAACATTGACCTGTGGACAAATGGCTCATGGAGCATTTGAGAGAAAAAGCAGGAAATGTACATCCAATATGTGACTTTATAGGCAGCAGTATGTTCTTAGGGCTGCATGATTCTGAAAGCACAAGTATGATACATGGAGATACAAAAAGTTCCAAGCACCCCTGTCCCACACACTGCTGACCACTCCAATCTCTGCCAACTCTAAGAAGTGGTAGTTAGGACATTAATCTTGTTTCCAGCAGATTTATGAATCTTGTTTCCAGCAGATTTATGGTACCTCAAGACAGAGATTTTCATTGCATGAGAACAAAAAGCAACTGAGACCATGTGTAAAAAAAAATAATTAATTATTCACCCTAAGCAGTCACTGCCTTTGCTACTCACCAGCCACCCACATCACACCCCCACAGCATTCTGTTTCCATAAACAATTCACTGATAGAAGTTTAAATCTGTGTAAACTTCACATTTACTCCCAAGTCTGGGTCTTTGGCTCATGATTTCACTACTGACTTTTTCATCACAACCACTGAATGAAGCTTGTTCATCTGACAGGTATTTGTATCTCTCTGTACATATGCCTTACAGGATTGTCAAAGACTAAAGATTGTTTCTTTTCCTGATGAAGACTAAAATTTTCTCTTTAAGAAACAGACCTAAAATCCTTTAGAGAAGTAGAGAATACAAATGTAATTTTCTTTTTTTTACCAGAGAAGTCAACATTATGATGTAGCTCATATACTTTTGTTTAACAGTGTCTGTTTTACAGCATTATTTCTATAAAATTAACAAGACTTATAAATACAAGCTTCATTCCTGAAGTAGCACCTAAATAGCAGTTCTGTTCCTTTCCCTGCTCAGATTAGAAATAGGAAGTCAGACTTCAGAACATGTGCAATACCACTGTTCACTAAACTTTATGCTATGTAGGATTAACTTGGTAAAATATCTCAAAACATGAGCAATAGAGGCCAAGTGGCGTTTTCAGTTTTTTTCCAATTTATTTAGTAAAATAAAGCCTTTTATTTCTTCCTCTGATGATACACATACTCCAAATGTATTTTTAAATACACTCATCAGTGCAACTCTCAAAGGGTAAGTGTGTATTATAGAAATGGTCCCCCAGATTAAGTATATATTGTGAAATGTATGTGAATGTGCATGACTTGAACCAATGAACTGTGGCCTGGAATGATGTCACAGAATGTGCAGCATTAAGTGGAAGGTTAAACCTACTTGCATCTCGGTTCATTAAACGTGGTTAAAGTGCAAATTCCCTCATTCTGACAGTAGTAATCACAAGGGTTCACTTTCTGGTCACAGCGCTGACTTTTAAACCCCACAGAGCATCTGCAGAATTTCAGTAAAATAGACCTACATAAATATTCTGCCTTGTGCTGGACAGATTTTAAACGCGTTACAGACAACGACGGCAAGACACGCACACACGCATGGGCACACACCCACAGAAGACAAAATCAATATTTTCTTTTCATGGAAGGTCCATCTGACAACACTGAAAAGTTTGCTCACGAGTGATGATCAAGCAGTTTTTAAAACAATGATCCTATGCTGCCTGAAGGGATCTCAGAGTATTGTTGTCAGATGTACATTTCTATCAACTGATCCAGATTGCAATGGCCTTAAAAATGATCAACACCATTTCCTTGGCATTGAGGTGTTGGTGTATGCTGCAGCATTTGTGTATTGTAAATCCACACACAAATTAAAGCACAAAACCTTTTTTTTTTTTCCTTGAGATGCTATGGTGTTCCATATGAATTGAGAAGGAATATGAGAGTTTTATAAGAAAAAAATTAATGAAAAGTCACAAGCTTCCCAAATAACCATTCTAGGTGTTTAAGGAAATGAATCACCAGGCTTAGTCAGCATATTCGGGCCTTACATATCATAGCTATGATACTCTCCTTTTGTCAGGATTTATCAGTCTCTAGTCCTCAACTAAAAATATTTAAGGAGGCACAAATAACAGGCAAAATGGTAAAACCAGATAAAAATAATAACCAAAGAGAAAAATAAACACCTAAAGTATTTCCAAATGAATAAGGGCTACCATGCAAAACTAAATTGCATTGTCTTCAGCCCCAAACCTGCAAACAAACATTGACAATTTTTCAGTGGTAGTGACACTACAATTGTGTGTCCTTTTTCTCAAGCAGAAGTGCTGCAGGTGTCACAGGGAAGAACCCTTGTCTCTTCCACTGGTCAGACTAACAAAATCTAGACATTTATGAAACTCCTTTGAGAGTCCAAATAAAATTCTCTTTCAAGATCACCTGCATCAAAAAAAATGAAGGAATGGCTGTATCTTTATTCACAAAGTTGTGGTGCCAGATCCCTTTGGGCAACAATTTGCACATGTCACCCAGGGAATGAGACACTCATGTCCAATTCTGTCTTCCAACACCTCTCTCCTCCAGCCTGGAGGGTGCTCTGAGCTCCAGGTTGTTTGAAGAAGCAGAAGATCATTGTGAAATGAATATTTTAAGGAAATAAATAAAAAATAATAAAAAAAAAGAGCTTGAGTAGGTAGCTCACAGTGACGGAGAGCAGGAAAGAAATTAATTTCTTGCTACAGTGACTACAGTATTTTATATTGAGCATCTGAAAAAAAGATACACCATAGCTCTCAAGAAAGGAGAAGAATGTAGGCTTTTTCACTTTGAAGCTACAAAACACATATTTCTTTTGCATTGTATGTCTGAGCTTAATAAAAGCACACTGAATTACTCTCTTGACCATGACACAGAAGGGAGAGCACAATCTCCTGTTCTCCCAGAACAGCCACAATACTCTGGGCAGTGGGAAGGTTAGGGCAGAAATATTAAATACTAGAGCATATCTCCATAAGGGAAATAACACTGACATGATTTTTCCTATTCTCCAGCTACCAGGAGAAGGGTTTTGCCTCCAAATCAGACAATCTCTGTAGGAAAAAAGACTTAATCCAACTCTGAGAAGCAGGACAGGCAATCTCAAGTTTCCATTCCAGAAAAAAATGCCTGAACAGACCTAAAATTACTGTAAGTCTTCAAAGATATATCTTTGTATCTATATGCATTCACAATAGAGCCCTTAGTTCTAAATTTCAACACACATTTTGCAAAAAGGTATGCAAAGTATGAGGCTACACAAATAGCTAGAAAACAAATACTGTAAGCTGAAACTGCAACCAGCACATTATTCATCCTAGAGAGACCAAAAATGCAGACACATGCACAATAATTTTAATATTTGTTGTCACACAGGCATTTTAGTGATCTGCAGGATGCAGGATACTCACAGACAGACAGGTATGTTTGTCTCTGGGTCCAGCTGACAGGTGCCACCGTTGTAGCAGTATCCATCACACAGCTGACAGGTGGAGGCAATTTTTCCATTAGTGCAACTGTCATGGTTAAAAAAAAAAAAAAAAAAAAAAGCAAAGTGTAATCAGTATTTCAGTAAATCTGAGCACTTCATTGTAAAATCAGTATTTAAATATATTATTATAAGATCTACTGATAGAAAGAATTCTACGTTTCTGGTTTGAAAAGCTAGCACAGACAATGAGATTTTTGCACAAAATATATTTTATCTTTCTTTTAATGAAAATAAACTATTATAATCCAAAACACTCAGCCATAGAGCAGCACATGTTATCTATGCCTCCAACAGTATTTAGTATGTCTCTATCATTGTCACGGATAATGCAGAATTTTCAACAGTGAAGAACAATGAAGAAATTTCAACAGTATAGAAGAACTCCATTGCTAATTTGATTAATTTCAATGTTTCCAAGTGAAAAACCATTCAGTCTCCCGCTACATTCTGTTTCCTCCAGCGAGGAGTGCTCCATGAGATGGTTTTGAAAGCCAGGAGCCATTGGTTTGGTATGGGCAGGAGCCACACAGAGGAACTGATGCGACGTGACCACTCCAGGGAGAAGCTACGGCGCGAGACATGTAAAGAACAAGGCAGCAAACTGCTGATAAATGTAGGATTTGGAACAAAACCTCTCCCCCACACACACTCACTTGCACACTACGTCACTGCTGTCCTTGTTTGTGATGCAGTGTCCCCCGTGGCACCGGGTGCACTTGTCCACCTCGCACTTGGGGCCCTCGAACCGCGCGGGGCAGACGCATTCCACGCGGCCGTCGTCGGAAATCGTGCACGACTCGGAGTTCACGCAGTAGTGGTGGCAAACATCTGAAACCACACCAGACCTAATTACTAAAAGACGTTAAGGAGCATTATAGAAATAAATAACACATTGCTTTCATGTTTTAAGAGGTACTGTAATAACAACAAAATGGAAACTGAAGCTGATGACTCACTGGCAACCACAGGAATTCAGAATATCCCATAAACAGATATATAATATATTAACAATGTAATCTTGGGAAGTGAAATGGAAGTATAAACTCATAAGAGGGTTTTTTTTTTCCTTTCTAGTTGTCTAACCATTTATGGCATCATTCCACACAATATAAAGACTCTTGATGAGAAAAGCAGAGCCATGTTAATGTATTTAATGGGACGTTGGCTGAATAAAAATCTTCTGATACATTCGCATTACCATTAACAGCATTATGCTAAACTGAAATTGAAACGATATTTTGAAATAATTAAGTTTTATTTTCATTTATACACATATTAAAATTTTATGAAGTTCTAATAATAATCTATAAAGACATTATTCATAAGTTCTACAAAGTACTACAAACATGCATAAGCTTCATGCACTGTGCAAGACCCCATTATGGTATTTAACTGTTTAAATGCCAGTAGGACTGAGATTTCAAGTAGTGAATTCTTGAAACACTTGAAATACTATTCAGAATCACCAGTAACTGTCTCAGTTTTCATCCCTTTTAAAAAAGCAAATTGCCTAACTGAAGAAGCTTACAAGGGCTACAAAATACTGGTATCTTAACATTTTGGTTAATTTTTATTTATGTGGTAGTTACAAGTTTATTTTGTGGTTTGGTTTTTTTCCTTTAAATTCATAATTTAAGCTCCTTAATGGGCAGGGACACCTTCCACCATCCCAGGCTGCTCCAAGCCTCATCCAAGGTGGCCCTGAACACTTCCAGGGATGGGGCAACCACAGCTTCTCTGGGCATCACTTGTGGGGGTATCTCAAAGTCAGAAACACATTTTGCCAATATTGCTCTGTGCTGTTTTTCCTCCTCTCCAAGAAGTGAGTACTGCTGGAAGAGTTTTGCTGAGGGACAGAGCAGGGCTGTTGGAGGAGTTATTTCTGTTTGAAAATTCATTTTATGTCTCCACTGTCTGTGCAGGTTGTAGGCTCAGCTGCTTAAGGAATTAGCAACAAGAGCGGCTTAAAAAATGCTAAATGAAGTTGTTGATTGTTTCTTGTTCCCCAGTTCCAGGTATGGAATGGCAATTTGCAGCAGGGGGCCTGTTTTTGGAACAAAAACTACCGCAGTTTGAAAGCTAATACTGACAGTGATTTTATGTAAGAGCAGTGCAAGGGGCATATGTTTGCACATACATTATGATTTAAAAAAAATCCAAAACTGAAAAACACAAATACGTAGGAGTAGGAAGGTCATATGTCAAAACAATTATTAGTTTTTTGGATTGATTTCAGTCACAAACACCTATAGTCATCTGCAGTATCTAAAATGTTTATGCTACATTTGGGTTGAAATGACACAAAATTATTTCTTTTTTTCTCCTAAAAAAAGGGATTTCAGTTTCAGAGAAAGTCACAGCTTGTGGGATCACCATATCCACTCTGAATGATTGTAACTGCATGAAAATGTTTCCTATTTTTTAGGTAGTTTGGGCCTTAAATGATACAAGAAATGAACTTTAGCTACTCTGTGTGTCTTTTTCTGGAATTTAAAACAGGAAGCTACATTCAAATGCATGAGATTTATGTGTATTTAATAACATGCACAGTGTTAGTAGAATTCTATGTAAATTCAGTCACTTAAATTTATTTCAGCCATGCCAGTGCCTTGACACGGAGCACTCATTTAGGTTATTAGCCCTTATGTGAACTAATCACAGGAGAAACTCTGCATTGGGTAATTGGAGACGATAAGTGTGGGGAAAATGAGGTCTTTGCAAACTGGTAATACTGCAAGCAAATGTCTTCTCCCTGCCATAAAACCCTACTAATAATATTTTAAGCTTGGGAGCAGGAGTAAAATACCTACACACATTCACGTGTCATCCTTTGCATATGAACTACCTTCAATCACAGCAAGGACAGACTGAAAGAGATATCTGGGAGGCAACCAATCTTTGTAATAATGACATATTAATGTATTCCAACTGGCATACAAAGTGAAGGTAATTAATAAAGCAAAACATCATGCACATGTGTGAATAAAGCAAAAGAAAACCCAGCTATGGCTCTATATACACATTATTAACTGAAGACTGGTATAATATCACAAAACTTATTGGGCAGCAAAAAATACTTTAAAAGATTGTGATGCTTTTTTTTCCTCCAAAAGACTTAAATTTTAAATCAGCAAAAGCTTAATTTTATTTTGTATTTTATAATGTCTTTGTTTCTGTATTGTGGCAGTTTCCCAGACAATCCAAATCTGATAATAAGCACTGTTTAAGAAGTACCCCATAATTCCTGAATTTACATTTAAATTAATTCTCTTAAAAAAAAAAAAAGAAAATAAAAAAGAAAAAAAAAAGATGTTTGCAGAAGCATTCAACTAGAAACAATTTGTTTGGTTTTGAGTAAGCCTCAAGTAAATATTTTTCCTTAATCTGTGTGTCTGTCTGTGCATGATTTATGTGCTATACTATATTCAAATACCCAATTGTGTTTGCAGATACTTGTTTGTGGATTCATGCAGTTTGTTTAATACCAAGGGGGAAAGAATCACAATTACTGCTGGTTTTCCATTCAAAGGTTTCAATTTATTTCATAGTCTCCCAACTGGAAATATATTCAGTTTACTTCAGTACAAATCCTATTTAAGATACACACTATCCCTTTCCTTGTCTGACAGACCTTTCTCTAAAACTAAATGCTTTTTTATATTATAGATAATTCTAAACCAGTCCTTTATAACAGCTAATTTCCCATCCCTTTTTTTCTTAAATCAAGCCTTCTTCAGCAAATTCACTGAAGGTATATAAGAGATGATGGCTTTCACATTTAATGTTCTATGACAAGCACTATGACAGTCTTAAAAGGCTATGACAGTCCTTGCCTTTAGAATGTTACAGTCAAAGAAAAGCAGGAGCAGAAAAGAGGAGATGATTAAAAAACATCATTCAGATCTCAGTAAAATAATTGGTTATAACTTAAGGAAGGTTGCTTGTGAGTCATCATTTTTGAAAAGACATGGGGAAGACAAACTCGTTTTTAAATGAGTGACCAAATGAAGAAATTCAAGCTTATGTTCAAATGTCTTGGGTTACTGAAAAGAGACAATGGTGAAAGAAAACAAAAGCATGGCAAGAAAAGAAATATAAATGAAGTAAGAGCAAAATGCCTATTGGTTGATAATCTACTTTCCTTACTCCTCTGTTAAAGAAGTGAAAAATTACAGGAAATTGTAGAAAGTGAGTAGAGACTTTCTAAGGGCATGGAAACCTTCAGAAAGCTATCTCAATGAGAAGAGACTGATGGGGTAGTGGAATGAAGAAACAGGGAGAAATGCAGATACAAAAGACAGAACCTAAGACCTTAGATTTAAACAATAGTAACATTCAGTTACAATTCCAACACCAGGATGGGGCAGAAATCCTACTCAGGGTGATCTTTGAGCAAGCTGAAGGAATATAGCATGGTGAAACTCAAAGCTATCCTCAAAGTGCTGCTTGCTGGGGTTAGAAACAGAAAACAAAGGGAAAGGAGCAATTTAAGAGACTTCTTTGTCTGCAAAGATTAGGGACACCAGAAGGTTCTTTAACCAACTGTGTCAATTCATTACCAGCATAACAAAACACATGACAAGTTGTAGTAGAAGATTTTAACACAATTATCTCATGGCTACTGACAAAGTCATCTGTCTTGTACCGCTCCACTCTATGGCTTATTCATGAAAATAACAATAAATCATTCCTAAAAAAGCTCTTTCTTCAGCCACGTAGAAGGGGAGAAATCTGCTCAAAGATCACGTAAATACACCAGATGACATTGCCTCAGCAGCACGAATAATCCGAGGCCAAATTTAACAACGCCGTCAAAAAAAAAAAAAAAAAATCACCCACTCCGGCTTTAACCTTCCATTGCGTGGAGCTTTTCCTACAAACCCAGAAGGAATAATTTGTGGAGATTACTTACAGTACTGGCACCTGTCTCCTGTGTACTCGGGCAGGCAGGCACAGAAGGGCTGGTTGCCAGCAGTGACACTGCAGGTGCCCCCGTTCTGGCAGAAGCGCTCGCACACGGTCTGGTTGCAGCGCGGCCCCGTAAAACCCAGAGCACAGCTGCAGGTTGGCCGGCCTGTCCAAAACAGGGAAAGCTATTTTATGATAAAAATAAATACAAATTGAAACAATAATCAGCAATTTTGCAACACAGGTTTATTGTAAGAGTAGGAGGTTTCAATGTTCCAGCCCAACTGTGTTTCTCTGGAGGTTGAGAGAACGCGGCTTTGCAAACATTGCTTGAATGCAGAACTTTTGAAAAACTAAATAGAGTTATGGGAACACAAAAACTGCATCTGTGCATTTTTATCCTTGTTCATGTACAATCATTAACTCCTTTATGAGAAAAAAGTCATTATTTAAAAATATACAATCATTTCAAAGGTGGTTCTAAGCAGGAATTTAAGATATGACTGAAATCTTCAAGTCATGCTGCCCTTCTGGGTTCCTCCTGTTGCAGAGGAAAATTGTGTGATCACCATTGGTGTCTCTTGAGAGTGCACTACATTATTCTCAAATCTACAAACCCTGAGATGTAATCACATGAAAAACAAATATTTACTAATGCACTAATAGCTATACTTTACAGAACAATTTTTAATAAACCACAAGTATCTGTGCCTGTTTGTCGTCCCACCCCTCTCAGATAATGAAGACTGTTACACAAAAATTGCTGTTTGGCATCAGACCAAAGATGCCTGGAACATCAATATTCAATGTCTGAAAAGCAGCTAACACTTGGGGATGAACATTTGCACACAATGAACTCCTAGTCTACAGCTTCTTTTCAAAGGATTTTAAAATAGTCTTTAAAACCCAGTGCATTTTCCTCCTATGATTCTTCTCTATTGTAGTTTTCCCATTTTTTTTCCTTATCTAAATCTCATGTCTAAAGGATTTATAGCTTTGTTACCATTCCACTGTTTTATTAAACCCTTCCACTTTCCCGTTTTATTTTCTTAAGGGTTATTTTCTTTAAAACAATCTTCTAGATCTCATTAATGTTTTTCCATCTCCTGATTTTGCTTTTTTATCTCATTTATAATCTTAAGGCAAATGACCTGATGTGTCCAACCAGCCATCTCCCTTCTCACTTCCTAATAAACTACTCTCATTCTTGATTATCTCTTGCAAGATATTATCTTTCCCCCACTCTCGTCTTTGTTTTCATTCAGCTTTAAAGATTTTCCTAAATTTATGGAGAACAAAGTTTAGCACTTTTATTTTTCCTGGCTTCCCAGGAAGGAAAGAGATGAAGATTAAGCAGGACCTGAGGACCCTTCTGAAATAAAAGGGCAGACAGGATGGGTTGGAATAAGGTGAGCATTAAGGTTCCTTCCAACCCAAAACATTTCATGATTTGGTGTTCATCAAGTTAACTAATGTGTGATGCAGAATCACTGGACTGGAATTACAGGCATAAACAGGAAAAACAACCTCTCAGATTTTACCACTGACAACCTAATGTATCCATTTTCCCACTTGCCTCCTGATGCTCACCACAGCTGCATCTGAAACTCTGAGATGTGCAACCCTGCTTACCTTGCTGGTCTTTCTTCTCCACTTAGCTGGCTGTGTTATTGAGTAATTAAGATTAAACTGAGTATTCCACAAACCCCACAATTTGATTTTTCTTCTGGTCTGCTTTTCTTTTAATCCTGTGCAATCATTTAATATCAAATTCCTTGGAGAATTTTTCAATGCAAGTAAAGTACCCTCATTTTGTCTCCACTCTCTGACTCATGCAGAATGATTTAGTCAATCTTTTTCCTTCACTTCTCACCCTTCTAACACGACACACTTCATGTAATTCTTTTCTGTATTTTCTATTTTAAGCTATGCTAATTTGAAGTGTTTTGCAAATCATCCTAAGGGCCATGAGATCAGTTAGTCTCTTTCTCTAATGAGTACAGCAGGAACAAAACCATTGACCTAAAAATAGCTCCAACTCCTTTAATATGCATCAGCCTGGTTATTCATATCTGTCCCCTGTGATCTAAACATTAAATCAAAGATGTTGAACTCAGATGTTAGCACAGATTCCACTTGTTTTTCCCCATGTATACAGATGTATTTAAATTTCTGCCCCAAGACAGGGGGTTTCACATAATCCTTCAACTGAAGCAGTGTTTCAGTAAAAAAAAAAAAAAAATTTAAAAAAAAAAAAAAAAAAAAAAAAAAAAAAAAAAAAAAAAAAAAAAAGATAAAATAATGATAGAACATAGATCTGGAGGTCTGAAATGAGTTTTCATTATAAATACTCCTCTATCTGTTAAAAGGATGAGACAATGATATTTTTCTAGTTTATAGAAAAGATTATTCTCTTCTTTACTAAAGTAGACTTATAAATATGCCAAACTGTTGACAGCTAAATGAAAATTTAATACAGTATAGCCTAAACCCCATTTTTGTCACTCAATTTAACATGACTTTCAGTAATGTTAGCAGTCCATTGCCTATTTATACACAGACTGTTGACACCAGAAATAATACTAATAATGACATTTTCATTTGCCTTATTCTCATAAATTATTTCTGATACAAAAAAATGGTTCCAAGAACAGTTTAACAAAACAGCAGCATTAAACAATGCCAAACAATGCCATAAGGTTTTGTATCATGGAATCAGAACATAAATTTATGTTTACAAAGGAAACAGTAATGTAACCAAGATGTCACATAACCAGAAATTGCAGGATGAGCTCATGCACAGAGAGCTCAAGCACCTTCTCTGGCCATGAAATCTCAGGATTAGAGATCTACAGACACAGAATTAAAACTCCCTCTGAATTCTTGACCCTCACCACCACAGAAAGATTCACAAAACATTAGCATGTAGAAAAAATTCACATGGAAAGTGGCTCATGGAATGCCAAACTGCTTCAAATGCAGAACAGAATTTAGTAGAATAAAGGAGAATATATTCTGGTGACTCTAAGATATAAGTCATTTTTGGCAGTAGGATATGAAAAAATAGATGAAATTTTTGACATAGAAATGAAATGTAGTTTTGCCCTTTCTTACAAAAATTAAATCATTTAAAAAGAAAAAAAAAATAACCAGGGATTAAATTTTTTCAGTGTTCAATTAGGTTTGGATACAGAGGCTGTAGTTACTCCTGGTTTGTCAATTTAATTTGCTACATAATAACTATTGTCTATATAACAACTTTTCAAATAAACTTCAAAAATCTCAGAAATATCTTGGTTTACTTTCTCTGTAATATGTGGGTGACTTCTTTTGGGAAATCATTCATATACCTTAAGCTTATATTCATATATATTTTGCAAGGATTAGAATTCTAAGATCAATTTTCATTCACGATATTGCCTAAGCAACAGAGAAATACTCTACATTTTCAATGACCAAATACATTTAAAAAAAAATTAAAAATAATTAAAACCTAGGTCAATAGCATTATTTTTGTAAGCTTTCTGCAAGTTTTGAAAACTGAGATCATCCAGATGAATGTCTTCACCAAAAACTACATTATTTATTTCTTCCAGTCACTGGTAAATTCACTACCAGAAATGTGTGTTATGTGTGAATATGCACAATTAATTTCAATATTTATCTTGCTGTCACTATTTAAGAAAAGGAGGTCGCTCTACATGATCTTTCTATAAGCAATATCTTGTCCTTGGGAGTTGTTATCAGCAGTCTGTGGGAATCACAATATTCATTTCTGTGTGGCTGATGAACCATAATTAGCTTTACTGAAACAATAGGAGTGGAGAGAAGCTGCATTATTGAAGATAATTAGTAGGTGAGCTGATTGGGATCTATCCCAACAGATACAGAGTCTCTCCGTGTTATTGGAAAGGAGAAAAGAACAATTTCTAAATAACTCTGAGTAGTCTCAGGGACTGCTTTTTCCAGTGCTGGTGGTTCTGCTGGGATCAGCTCCAGGGAAACACCACCCTCATGCTTCCCACGGCCCCTGTCCTGCTGACAGCACCATGGGAAGCTCCTGGGACTGATGTGGCATCAGCAAAACAGGTTCTTCACTGACTGTTTTCTGCAGGCACCACATCACCTTGTTTTGCTCATAAAACAGAATACAAAATAATGTCTGCTTCATATGCAATGATTCTTTCAGACTATTTCATACATTTTCACTTAAAGGAAAGGATCTTTTTTTCACTCATTTTTTGATGCAAACATCACAATTCTGTATGATTACACATATCTTAGACAATCAGCAAACTATTGCTGCAATATTTTTACTTTGAACTACCTGGAGAAAGAAAAGTGTGTTTTTATGGCAACAGTGACTTTTTTTTGCCCAAATTCCCATTAATTTGGCTTACTGGAAAGTGTTCATTATTACAGCCAAACTTTTAATTACATGTCTCAGATGTGTACTTTTAATTAACTGATGACATTTTCTTTGTTCAATTATTGTAGTTCAATACAACTGTCGTAAACTTATAAATTTTAATTAAAGCTGCTCCAATCTCTGGCTATATAACATTCACATAGGAATTTGCCAAAAGGCTTAGCAGTAAGTAAGCCAACAGTGAATAATCCCTGAATTGCCAGTGGGATTTGTTTAACAAATTAACATTTGTGTGCAGATAATGAGGTTCTACAACTTAACACATCCAGCAAAGATTTAGCACAATCATGTTTTAAAAAATTAGTAATACTCTGCAATTTACTTAATTAGTTATCACATTTCTATTCTATATTAGGTAGGGAAAGAGAAGAGGATTTACACGTTCACTAGAACACACACATTCACCAGAAGAGTATTTTGTATGCTGCTTTATTTTATTTGGATCAGAATATGAAGCAAAGTTCATTCCCAGGAAATCTCCCCATTGTTTGAACCAGAAATGATCAGTAAGGAAATTCCCTGACTCTGGGGAAGCTTCCAGCTGTGGGAACACTTTGGAAGAATCATCTCATGAGGCTAACATTGCTGGCAGCCCCTAAGCTCTCCAGAGGCCACGTGTACAAAATGACACTTGTGAGATTGACTGCATCAAAGCTGTTAGAATAATATGTCAGAATTGACAAGGGCAATTCAAGCCTCCAAGAAAGAGAGGGTCAAGCAAGCTGAAATGATCACAAGTCATTTGTATTTTGATATGATCACAGGTCATTTATATTTTGCAGATGGGTTTAGATTGGCACTGGTACACGTATGGCTTCTACAACTTCCAGAGGAAAAATTGTCATACTTTTGAACATAATTTTGAACAAAAATACACTTTAAGAAAAGGCAAAGTTGGGAAAACATGTACAACTTGATTACATGAGTTTAGCAGGTCAGTTTGATGAGTCAGATGTATAATGGATCAGAAGGATGACTGCTGCTTGTTGAGGAGGTGTTTGTGAGCACAGACAGCAACAGAACAGATCAAAGTCAAATGATACTGAGCTGACTTAATTTTAAAATAGCAATCTTATACTTCACAGAGGTTGAGGGATCTCTTTACCAAAATCAGTTTGCAATGTACCTATTGGAACATTGGGGATTTAAAGGAAGTGCCACTTGCAGACCTGGTTTAGTGGGGCACTGGCAGAGCTGGGTTAAGGGCTGGACTCACCTCAGAGGTCTTTTCCAGTCTTAATGACTCTATGATTCTATTGCTGTCAGACAGACCAACCTGGTAGGACAAACTACAAATCCAGACAAAATATAATGCTAAAGTTCTAAAACCGTTAATGAGAAACTGAACAATTCCTGGTGATAAAGGAAATTTTCATTCCTACATGTAGAAATGTGCAAGAAAAAAGCAAGGACAGACTAAAAACTCTCACATGAGCGTGGCACAGCAGCTCAGCTCTGCCTGGAAGGCTGAGACAAGAAGTCTGGTCTGGATTTCATATCCTCTGTCCAACTGCAAAGGGCTTGTCCATTCCCTGCAGCTAAAAGTGCCCTGTCCTATTCAAGGGCTGTGTATCCGACTGGAAAGACAAAAAGGGTTGCTCCAAAAACACTTGAGGAATTAAGCTTTCTTGCTTTAATTACATTTTTCAATGGTTTTGGGGAGACCAGTGTAACTTCTCTCTGTAAAACATGCAACAGCCTTAGTACATCACAGGCTAGATTAAACTGGAATAAGGGACATCTCACTGGCATGCTGGTTTGTTTCAGTACCCCACGATTTATGGACTGATAGAGATAAGAAATACAGCCTGATAAGAAATAGAGATTTCCTCTTAATAGAATATTTACCAGGTCCAGGGGCTAGGCATGCAAGGAAGATGAGATGCACATCAACCTGAACATTTTATCTGGAATACTGGATGGAGTCACTGTGATTTAGAAAGATACAAGGTCTTTTTTCCACATTTCCAGCACATGAAAGTTATGGTGTGGGCTCCAAGGCACAGCTACCCTCATGAATTGGAAATGGCAGATAGGACATCTGGTTAACTTGAAATATGGCTGTTAAAAATTTGATGAAACTAAAGGGAGCCAGCACAGGAGAAGAATACTCCCATCAGTGGGTGTGCACAGGTACAGCCATCAGAACCAGCTCTGTGTTCATCTCAGCTCTTAAAGGCATACTTTGGTCATTTGAGACCAAGCATCAGGCTGATACCTGCCCTCCCCAGCCTGATTCCTTCATCCCCAGGCTGATTCCTTCATCCCCAGGCTGATTTCTGTCCTTCCCTGGCTGATTCCTGCCCTTCTCAGGCCCATGTTAAGAATTAAACAAAGTGTACTGTAGACCCTGCTCATATCTTGCCTTTACACACTGGTGGCAAAACTCACTGCACTAATTCTTTTAGCAAGGCTGAGAGATTTCAGAGGCTGGATTTAGCAGGAAAATGAAAATTAAAAATATCCATGCAATAGCATAGCTGTGTGAACACAGCAAGTGTGAGCTGCCTGGGAGAGGGAAAACAAACTGCTGGAGGTGAGTGAGCCCTGTGGCTACTGCCAAAAAAAAAGGATTAAATAAAACCCTGGGGTCTCTGCAGGACTCACAACAGAGCTGAGTTCCAGGAGCCAAGTTATTAATTTTATTAAGCCTTCTCACCCCACAAAAAATCAATTAGATGCCAGACATGTAAAAATGTGGGAATAAACATCCTCTCTTTAGATGATGAGGAAGCTCTGCACACCATTTAAACCATCACTTCCACTCACTTGCACATCCTCACTTAGCATTTATTGATCTCACTACATTGATAAAAATCGCTGCTTATCACTTGTGCCAGTAGTTCCATCAGATGTTAGGAGCAGTTTAAAGGCTAATTCATCAGCTTCCAGTACAAGTAATTCTCATTTTCTGATATTTAGTCATTATTATGAACAACATTATTAACCCTCAACGACTCAGAACTGAAAGAATAAATTACTAGACTTGCATTTATTTGGAATTTTGCCACCATGCCTCAGTCAATGGGAGGAGGCTCCAGAGAAGCCAGCAAGTGGAGCTAAATTAGCAAATTACATAGGCTTACATAGGTTAATTAGTAAGGAATGTAATGGAAATCTTTACAATCTAAGCCCTTTCTGCCACAGAGACTCAGATGCATAATTCTGCATTACAGGAAGGAATCTCTGATGAGCAGTCACAAACTTCTCAAGGTCAGGTGCCTGGACTGTTTCAGAGGGTGGTGGCCACTTCATCACACAGGAGAAAATGATTCACAGCATCTTAAGAAGAAAGCTTCTGAGAAAGAAGAAGCAAACTCTTCTCCAGCTCTTGTATTTTGAATATTTAAATATTCCTTGAAGCAGAAAATAGAGTTCTATTTCTCCTTTCTCACAGAATTGCTATATTTTAGAGGACATCTTTTTGCACTTTTCCTCTCTAGCTCAAACATTATACAAGATACAAAAGCTTATATGTTAGGGACAAAGACCAATTGTCAAATTCCTGCTTTTTAACAGGATAAACCCCCTGAACCCAGGAGATATAATTTCAGATTCCTTCAGGGAAATGAAGGATCTGAGTTCTCATCTACAAAGTCTTCCAGAGAATTAGGTGAGTAAAATTCCTGTTTGGTGAACTCCAGTAGGACAAAGGTAAAGGATTGAGGTCAGGTATTTAAGCAAATATCTCTGTGTATGCATATATAAATTTAGGGCATGAATGGTTATAAATGTAAAGAAGATGTCTGGACTTGTTGTAGATGTAGTTTGACTGGACATTTTGCTTTACAATTCCACTGCTACACCACAACACGTGTGTCATTACACTGAATATTTACTTCTATTCTTCCTTTTCTGGTATAGACTTTAATTGTGCTGAAACACCCAGATAAGTGAATGAAAACCCCTACTGATTACAAAGAATATGTGTGGAATATTCCGCTATTTTTTTGCACATTGTTTAAGTACAGACAAAGCAAATAAAGAGAAAAAGGAAAAAAAAATTAAAAGGAACAAATTCAAGCATTTAATGCAGGTATACCAGCAAGACAGAGCTGTTCAGAAATACTTACCAAGGAGAGAAGCCCCACAGGTTCCTCCATTCTGGCAGTAGTTGTAGCAGTGGTTGGTTTCACACCTTTCCCCAGAGTAGCTTGGCCAGCAGTGGCAGCGGGCATCCCCCTTCTCATTTATGATGCACTTCCCTCCGTTCTCACAGCTTAATTTACAGCTGTCATCTGCAGCAAGAACACACACAGCTCCAACAACCCCAGCTTGGCAAAACAGAGCCTTGCCTCAAACACAGCCACGGATCTCTGTCAGTGAGGGGCAGGATACCACTTTTCAGAATGGAGAAAGTGAACTGTGCCTTCTGTTTGCAAAGTGACAGAAAAACCCCACAATTTGGGGACCATAAACCCTGGAAAGGTTGCCAGGGGTTGTAGGGCTGGTGAGAGCTCTCACACAGCACAGGGATCTGAGTAATGATAGTACGAATTCTTGTTTGAAACTATAATTCCAAGTTTGAGAATTGGAAAATTGAATGTTGGTTTCATCTGGGAGACCTCAGAAAACTTCTCAGTCATTTTCTGGTGACATCAGCCCTTTTTAATTCTGGATTTCTCTTCCACATTCTCTGCTAACTAACAGCCTTCTTAACTAGGCCCTGTCCAAAATATTTAAAAGGAAATTATGTAGCCTTTAATTCCTCTTCCAAAATAGTTATTTGCATACAGACTTGTTGCTCCTAATTAATATTTTCTGCTAATTTATTTTTTTTTTCTGCTCAGACTGTAAAATCCCTGAGAAGGGAAGCTGCCTACTGCTCTGCAATCACACTTCTTATGGCAGCAGTGCCACCCTCTTAGTGATGAGGTGTAAGGAGACACAAACTCTGATCAGGCCAGATTCACTCTTCATGTAAAGATCTTTTGTGCTTAGTCTTGCCTCTTCTCAAAACACTTTGAACAGTAAACCTCCTATTAATTTCAATGAACAAGGTATAAAATCACTCAATGATAACAACAGCAAATTAATTATAGATGAGCACTCATACAATGCTCAAACATACAATCAACTGTAATCCTAAAGAAGCAGAAAAGCACCTTTCCAGCCCAAATCACACTTTCAGCAGTGAGACTTCATTTGTCACATAGCAAAACAATTCTGTGAAGCCAGACTGCTTCCTAACTAATCCAGGAATTTAGCCAACAAGGCTTTAAACAACAGAAATGCCACAAGTACCAAGAACTTTTCAATAATACATCCAGTGCAGGAGTGTTGCTGAATTCATCTGCTTTAGTCAAACAAGTAATGAAAAAAAGCCAAAGTTCCTGTTTGTCCCTTTCTGGTTGAGGTCTAACATTGACTGGCAAGGCACAGGCACAGCACCTCCTTTGAGTTTTAAAGAAACATATTGTGCTGCAAGTGCAGAGATTAGGAATGTTGACACAAAACCTGGGATGGAACCTATTTAAACAAAACTTCTGGAAACTGTCATCTTTCAGATAATTGTACCTTTCTAAAATTAAGCTGCAACTAGGCAGCAAATCTTTAATTTCCAGACTGACTGGTGCCTCATTATTTCACGACTTTACAATAAAAATATGAAATCCTGTTTTTACTTGATTTTTTAGTATCCACCCTGTATATATACAATTGCTGTAAGAAAGCTACTTTGTATTTGGAAGTTTGAGGATGCTTCAGTGTTTTATTAATTTGGGTGGTTCATTAAATCCTTTGATGTTCCATGAACCGTTCTTCACTTACTCATTACAGAAGTTGTTTGAATGGATAATGTAGCATATCTTATTGGAGAGAAGGTCTATTTTTGTTTTGCTTATCTTATCTGTTTTACTTATCATTACTCATGAGTTTATGGAGCAGAACTTGACAAAAACAGGATAAATAACAGTGACGTACAGACAACAGCTCATTTTTATGAACCTTTCTGATAGCGCATTAAAAACATGTTCTATTTCTCTTTTAGAGCAATTCCACAAAATTAAGATATAAAATTTGGGGAGAAAAAAATGTAAATTACTACTGATTTTGTTCTCTATGAAACATTTTAAATTCAAGAGTTTCAGTACAACTCTAATATGGAACAGAGAAATGGTAATACAGCAATTTTGGACTTTCAATAAGCTGAAAAAGAGGATTGAAAGATGCAATGGAAAAGGCAGTTTTAAAATAGTGTATTAGACTTGAACAATATATGGGGTTTAATGCTACTGCTTTGTTGTCTGGAGGTAAATACAAGAAACAAATTACACTGATTCACATCAACTAAGTACAAAAAGGGGATGACATGCCTGCCTTTGTGTGGGAAACATGAGCAGAATGGTTCTCTAGGAGAAGACAGGAAGAAAAGGAATACAGGAGAAAATACTGAAGAATTAGTAGAAAAAGCTGAATACAGTTAATTGGAATTACTGAATAAATACCTCAGAAAGAAGAAGTGGGAACAGGTCTAGCAAGTACACACCCTTGGAACAAACTTGTTAAAAAGACAAAATCAGAAAAGTTTCTAACTCAGATGTGTTCAATGCTGCTCTGAGCTTGCTAAACTCAGACTTAAACCCCTCTCATCTGCTCCTCTCACTTCTGAAATGACAGAGGTATATAATTTCACTTGTTATACTACCTCTAGTCAAGCTACTGAATCCCTCTAAAATGAAATAAAGAAAGGATTACAGATAATGTAATTTTATATATTCTCCTCTAATGTGGATATTTAGTCTTCTGCTGCCTTGTTTTGCCTATTTCAATCTTAACGTCTTTAATACATAATCAAAGAATTTTGATTTGCCATTTCTCTTATGATTTTCTTCCCACTAAAACTGTTTGACACAAACATTAATAGACTTTGTCTTATCAGCTTCATCATTGACTCTTCCCTTTTACTGGAATCAAAAGGGAAATCTTACAAAGACAAAACACTGATAAAACAGCAAATCAAAGCTTTGCTGGTATTTTTTTCTTTCACTTCAATTTTTTGACATTCCATTCCTCTCCCTCACACATGACACACCTTCTATTGGCATTTCTATAACAGCTCTATTCTTTCTTGAGAAAAATGCACCTTTTTGCTATTTTCTCCTTTTTGGAGTATCCCCCAATTTCTGCTCTAGACAAGTTAAATGGGGAGATGATGTTACAGAGCACAAGGTTTGGGATCTACATTCTTTGGGACAAAACCAGTTTCCCCCACAGTAGGAAATGCTCATCCCATGGGGCAGAAAGTTCTTTACTCTTGGCTCTCCCTCGGACAAAGGTGTAGCTCATCCTTTACTGAGCTGAATGCATCTAATAAAGACAGAGAGCAGAGTTCTAATGTTGAGGTAAGGTTCTATAAATCTTCATTCAGACGAGAGTTGTACCACACCTGCCAATTTGCCATATGCTGAAAAGTATCAGAACAAGTTGTTCTCCCCAAATTTTGTCTGAAGGCTGTAAGACAGATGCTCCTCTTTGTTTTCCCTTCCTTTTTTTTTCTTTTTTTCCTCTTAAAACATCTGTTTTCTTTACAATTTTAAAAGGAAGAGAATGGCTTCTTTGTTTTCCCTTCCCTTTTTTTTTTTTTTTTTCCCTCTTAAAACATCTGTTTTCTCTACTATTTTAAAAGGAAGAGAATGGCAAAGAAAAGAATGCAGAGTGTGAAAATCTAACTGGCACCCATTCTCTTCTGCACTGGGAAACAACCTCCCAACAATGACCCCTTTGTAAATACAGAAGTAATGCTGTAAACAGATTTTTTCTTCCAAACCAGCAGCAGATTTCTTCGTGACCCTCGTTTTTCTGAAATCTAAGAAGTCTGGAAAAGCAGTAAAACCCTAAGAAGATGGCATGGACCAAAGTGCAGTAGCTCCTCCTCCCTGAGGCAGACTTTGGGGTTGAAAAAGAAGGAACACAGGGATGAATCTCTCCAACCCCAGCCAAAGCACCTTCTCTGCCTGCAATGCAGTGGGCAAGTCCCCACAGAGACGTGCTGAGGGAAGCAACACAATAAATTAAATGTTTCATCTCTATTCAGAAGAAAAAACAGTTCTGTGTCTTTGGAATTCTTTCCATTCAACCAAAAGAACAGAAATGCTCCCCTCTTAAGAGGAAAGTGATAAGTGTGAGGCTCCAGAACAGGGAACTCTTGGAAGTTTTCATTACTCCTGCTCTTTCAGCTGTGGGACTCAATGTCTTCCTCCAGTGCAATTCTCTCCATTCTCATCCTCTGGGTACATTTTTAGCTTCATTTTGCTACAGACAATTAGATACAAGAAACCCAGTGGATGCAAATCCAGGGGTCTCTTTTAGGAAAATGAGGTAGTACACTGCTCTATCCTGTAGGAAAACTGAAGGGTAGCTTCTAAACTGAAAAAGTCCAGCCTGTTTCAGTCAATAAATAAAGCCCAAAAGAACTCTGGTCTGTCAGTCACAGTCATCCAGGGAGAAATGAGATGGAAGCTTATCTCATAAAACACTGGAACTTGTACTCACTCAGTTGTAATAAAACATTCTCAGTGATGCAACACACCCATATGCTGTAATGACTCCAGCTTGAAAACTCCAAATCAAGCCCAGAAGCTGTTTCTCTTCAGTTGCTTGAGGTGCTGAAGAAACAGCTGTCTGAGGCAATCTGGATTCAGTCCTCCAGAAAGCCACTGAGGAGTCAATATTTAAAATTCCTCATGTATGGCTCATGAAGAAAAAAAAACATTGGACCAAGCCAGGAGGAGCAGTATGCAGAATTTTAGGACTTAGCTAATTTTCTTCTGATTAAAAAAAAAAAAAAAAAAAAAAAAAAGGAAGAAACAGAGCAATCCATTGAACAAGAATCTGAGTCAGTTTTTGGGATGTAGCACAAGGAACAGAGCAAGACTGAGATTACCTTGCAGTCACCAACCTTTATGGTAGACAGACTAAGAAGAAATTGAATTGAAATGGAGATGGCTGTCCCATTTTGGCTCTGCCAAGTAATGGAAATCTACCAGTAGTTTCCTTACTGCATTTAAAAAGACTTAAAAACAATCAAATGCATTAAAAATATTATGAATATTCAAGATCCTACTATTTTCTATTGTAACTTGAATTATATATTATTCAAAAAGTACAGTTCAACCTTACAAGTTCCTGATATCCACAATTGCTGCTAATTTCTAAGAGTAAAAGGCTTCTTACATGACCTAAAATAGCTGTGTTAAAGCACAATAAAACCAGAACACCTCAAAAACCAGAAGACCACCAAAATCAACAAGAATATTTTGACCGACTTTGAATCAGGATTTTATTGGAGAGAAACAGAAAAAAATTATGTCTGTATAGCCTCCCTTCAACAATGTACAGTCAAGTAAGGCAGGATTTTCTGTTTTGGGTTATTGCCATCCTTAACTGTGCCAAAAATGTTCTGAATATCTTTAAACAAGGTGAATGTGTGGGGTCTGGACTATTTCACATACATTTTCTAGATCTTCATCAGAAAAGGAAAACTGCAGCTCCTAGTTTTTTATTACATACTGTATAACCTCCTAAAGGAAAAGGACCTGATTTTCAATCAAAAAATTGATTTTTTTGTTGGTTTTCAGGCTATAAGTGACCTATTAATAGCAAGTGACTGTCAGTCAGCCTTTAATTATAAACATGTATCAGGTCAAGATGTTGATCTTGAGGTCAGCACTGATCTTTCCAGAAACTCTGCTAGTCCTTGGAAACTGAAGTGGAGTCTCAGCAAGAGGCAAACATTTAACATCCACTTCTACTTAAAAAGAAAAATCAAAATAGTGCAGAAAAATTATTAGAGAGTACCGTAATACAGAAGTTTCATTCGTAATTTGTAATCTGTGATACTACAAATATTATTACAAAAATAGCATAGATGAAAGACGAAGTAAGAAAAAGCCTACATTAGGCATTACTAGAATATGATTGTAAACAAAAAAACTAAGGAAACACTTACTCAGCAGCCCTTTAAAAAGTCGTAACAGATATTGCAGCCATGGGAAGGTACTGAAAATTATCAATATATTAAAAATGCTTGTCTAGGCATTTCCTGTCTGCCCATAAAAATTTATAACAAGTCATTTAAAGACCTCTTCAGATCTCTCTTTAATAAAAACACACATTCCTGAAAACATTACCACAGCACAATCCTTTACCCACCAGTAAAAATGGAGCATTACTGAAATTATGAGTACAAACTGGTACAAGTCAGCAGTGAAAAACAAATTCCTTCTATTTGTCCATTCTTCAACACCTAAGTAGTGACTACAGGTAATTTGAAATAAATTTTAGGTGGTGCTGTAACAGCAGAAATTCTTGATATGTGTCCACCTAAGATGGACAAAGAGCTGACACTTGGGCAGGGAGAGTGTTCAGACTGATTTGTGTCCAGAGTTGGACAGTTTTATTAATATCACATCATGAACCACTAAAACACAGTCCTGCTAATTCAATATTTAAAGCCTAGGTAGTATAGATCGGTGAGATTTCCTCCAGAGAATTATGACATTTCAGGTAAATTAATTTAATTACTCAATTGAGCACTTTAAGCACAGAGGATCTCACCAAAATATCCATCACTTGCACTTCTGAGCCCAGAATTAAACATCAGAAAAACATCCTAATACACATAATAAACACAAGAAATGCTATTCTGTGATTTCTAGAACATTTACAAATTCAAGCTGGCTAAGAAATCATTCCAGCAGTGTGACCAAGCTAGGTTTGGCCTAAATTAGAGTAAAGTCATTTTAAAGTACTTAATAATATTCTATAGAAATTATTCCCTCCCTACCCCTAAAACACATCACGAACTTAAAGGCTCTTTTCTCATGAATTCTGGTTTCCTGTGTCTCAGTATTAGTCATTACAGAGGTTCCCAGAATATATAATTTTAGATAAAAATGCTGAAGGTTTTTTTTTTCTTCCTTTGACTGTTTCTTCAAAGTCATTATTATTTGCTATGTTGCTCTCACTTCCTTTTCACCATTGCCGCAGTGTTAATTTTTTTCTCCTGAATGACTCACTTTTAATTTGGGATCCAAAACATCTCAGTGCTTTTCAAACTTCTTTGGGTCAGTATTTATACACACTCACTTTTAATCACCTTGTATCAGTTAAGCTGAAAGCTCATTTTTCATTTTGATGAATATTAGCAGGGGAGGTATTTTTTGAATCAGAGATTTTTTTCCTTCACCTTTCAGTTTCAGCTAATTAATTGAACATCACAAAACTCTGCACCCACAGCCAGCCTGGCCTTTAGCAGTGACCAAAACTGACCAGCTGTTTATTTTCTGGTTTTCCTGCAGTTCTCAGTACCTACCTAGGAGGCTCTGATCAATGCATGTTCCATTCATCAATGCCTTTCCTTCTGGACAAGCACATGTTGCACCAGAAGGGTTGAGTAAACAAATGAATTCACACGTCAGGTCCAAGCAGGGGTTAGGCACTGTTTAAAAAGACAAAATATTAGAAATATTGATATATATTTATTTATTTATTTAAGAAATTCAGAGCGATGTTTTAAAGCTAAGAAAAGATAAATAATCAGGTACAAAAATTCTGATACACTTCCACTTCCCAGGATATCAACAGCCTCAAGTCTGTTTGAACACACTCCCCCAAACAGCAATGCAAGACCCACAGAAGGACAGAATTTATTCCATTACCAAAAAATGTATTGGTAACATGGACTAAAAAATTTCATTTGCTCCTGGCTAGAGGGATTGTTATTCATCTCTCTTCTAATTCTCTTTATATCTCAGTTACAGTGCAGGTACAAAAGGCATTTCTGTACAAATTTGTCCAGCATCCTTTGAAAAGGGTACAAACATATCAAAATTATATAAAGAAATATGACTAAATCTATTTTCAGTTTGTACAATCAGGCTCTGGTTTATATTTATACAACTTGGTTACTTTTTCCCCCCCTGAGGTTGAATTTAAAGTATTTAAAGTAATTATGCTTACTCACAGTCCGTTTGTTTGTAGCGGTGAAAAATCAAGGCACTTTTTGCTTTATCAACATCCACACTTAGATATTCTACAAGGCTCTTGCCAAATTTGTGTACTCTAAATGCACCATTTTTAGGGCCTGCTCCATATATGTAATCCTCAAAAATGTCAATTCTATGTGGATGCAGTAAACCTTGAATAAAAATTGATAGTAAATACAAATACATATTCATATTCAAATAATAAATGACTTTTTAAAATAAAAGCTTAATTACTGTGATTAGCACCTAAGGACATTATTTTTCAGGCAGCTCGTTTGGTCCTCACAAAAATTACTTTTAAAAAAAGCAATCTTCCCCAAAGGAACCCTTCCCATTTTGCAGACAACTTAAATGTCAAGATTTTTATCAGTTTTCCACACAATTGAGCCTCAGAAACTGGCTGATCATTGAAATAAAAAGAAACTCTGCAGTAACAACTCACTAATTAGAGCAGACTTGTTCTACTTGTTGTACCTGAGGTACAACACTTTAACTAGATGTATGTGACAAGGAAGAAAGAGGTCATTTGGCTTCACATCAAAGAAATTATTCCGACAAAACATTTCTTCAGCTCCTTCCTAACATATTTGAAATGCTAGCTTTTGTACCACACTTGTTTTAATTCATAATTACAGTAAATTAATGCAAAAGGAATTGTTAACTCTACCAACTCCACATTTTTAAGAGCTCTGAGGGCCTCTTAGGGTATCAGTTGGATTTCCTGTGTACAACTGGCTGTAGAATTTCACACTTGCCCTCAACAAAGCAATGGCTTCTAACTAAAACTTCTTTGCCTGAGGTGCATCTCTTCCTGAAGCCATAAAGAATCAGAATATATTCCTTGTGATACCTTGTGCCTGCTATTTTCACCTTTTACTCTAAAAATGGTTTTGTATTTCCCTTGTATTTACTTAGTTTCATCAATCAGCCTTTATTTCTTCCTATTGCTCTTTCATGCTATCAGTGCTTGGTACTCAATATTTCATTTTCATAAAAATATGAATGGATTCTAATTCATTATTTTAGGCTTGTTTCATTCAATGGGTTGAAGGTTTTAGTCTCATTGCAAAGCAATTTCTAAACTGCCCCAATTTTCCTTAGGTCCAGTGCTAGAGGAGGTTGTGGTCAGATCCCTACACCCAAAGTGATCTCTCTTCAGATGATTATCTTCATGTATACTGATACAAATTGTGGAATAAAATGCTTTTAAACCAAAATAAGATGTTTTCAATCTTGTCCTGCCCAAGTAGGGTTATGGGAGATTTCTCCTAGTGTATTCCAGAATATCCAGGTGAATTCTGGGTTAAAACACTCAGTAGCACCAGGTATAATAACACCCTGACAATTCTCCAGAACCAGCTGCCCACTAATGAATCCTCCCCAAAAGGCTGATTTCAAATATTTTTTTAATGTGTCCCTTTAATTTTCTACTCAAATTTCATAAATTTCTTACTTAACAAACTGCTAAAAAGCCATAGTGCAATTGAAAACAGTTTGCTTCACCAGAATCTCCTTTTTTTATCAAAAGGAACTTTCTTATTCACATTCTGTTAGCAGAATTCTGTGATTACTCACTGACCTGAAAGCCAAGCCCATTATTCTCCCAGAACTGATTCAGATCAGCTGTTCTACAACCCCTAAAACTCCAGTTCAATGCAGGCAGCTCTAATAGAAGTCCAAGTGAGATCAAGCCTAAATATTAATCACAATGTTACTCAGTAATACCTATATTTGGAAATCTGACATATCATTGAATCTTTGTTCCCCTAAGGTAATTTTAACAGATTATCTTAAAGCTGAAATTATCTTTATCTTACCTAAAACACTTGCTTAGATAATGTTTGAAGCACAAACATTTTGTCTAACAAAAGCACAAAAAATTACTCAATAATCACTGCTTTTTGCTTACATAGTTCCTCTGAATAGTGAAACTTCAGCCAAATAAAATACAATAAAATGAGAATCATGTTATACCAAGGCTCTCCATACCTTGTTTTGTGCTCACAGACACAACTGAGTCGGACCCATCAAAAAGAACACTGCCAATAACAGACAACTCAAAATCTGCCCAGAACAAGCGCTGGCTGAACTGATCAACCACGAGACCTACAAAGGAGATAAAGTTCAAATAGGAACATAAAACCCGAAAAAAAATTAGGATTTTTCTATAACTCTACATTTTTATGTCATTCATAGTCTTATGTACACAAAATATTGCAGCAATGAAAAGATTTGACTGGAAAACAAAGAGAATAAAGTATAACAGCTCTCACTTAAACCTTTCCCTTGGGGCAACCACGGTTTTTTACTTTCTTTACCTTACTCTGCCAAAGGTCAGCACCTTTTCTAACCCATTCTCCCCAGCAGGAAGGGACAGAAATATCAGGTGGGAATTAAATACAGAGTCAACTCCTCTGACCCGTTCTCCCAACCAAAATCTAATATGCCAATTGCACCAGTGTCATCCTGTGTTAAAAACAAGGCATTCAGAATTCATGGAGTCTTTGCACCCTGTTTCCACACATATTGAATTCTGTTCTCATTTTTATCACTGAGACTTCCCATGCAGTCTTGCAGAATTAAAAATCAGATTATTTTAACTACATTACTGCTGCAAGACTTAAACAGCAATATTGGAAGATATATAGCTATAAATATATTTTTTCATCTGTATATGAAAAGAAAACAAAAGAGAATAAAAGATCATTGACATTATAAATACCCAGCCTCTTGGCAATAATTAAATAGTTAAATCAAGTAGTCCATGCTTCACAGAGGAAGATTAAATGGTTAATATGCCATTTTAGGTCTGTCAAAAACTTCAGCCTGAAGAAAATATTGGAACCATAAAATAATTTCATTCTGAGCTTTTGAAGTTGCAGTGCATCTTTAACAAGAATGGGAAAAGGTATTTTTCTTCCTATTTATGTAAGTAGGTAAGTCAGAAAAAATACATCAAAAGAAATTATACATAACAGCGAAAATACTCCTCTTAAGGTCATAAATTAATCAGCTACAGATAGATGAGAGGAAGTGGAGAAAATCTGACTCACAGACCAGTGAAATATGTTTACATTTAAAACTCCATTTCAAAAAAACCCTCTTTTAAAGAAACACTGGCATTCAGGGATATGGCTGAAGACAATAATTTCAGGTAAAAGGCAATCACAATGTGTCATTTCTGTGTGATACATGGGACCTGTAAAGGGCATGCTTAAGAAGCAGTCCCCACTTTCCAGCCTTAAATTATTCTTTGCATTTTAATGAGAAGATTTAAATACAAATTAATACATAACTAGCATTCTCAATGTACTTTCATGGTATCAGAGCTAAAAGTATTTCTATTTGTTGTATACATACAACACTCCTGTGATAGCCATTTCTGTGTGACTCAAGCCCAAATGCTCAAACTCTTACTCCCTCTTATTTGAAATAGGAAAGCCATATGTGGTAATCAATTCAAGAACAGTATAAATAATATTAGTAAAGTCCCATTTGGGAGGAAACATTAAAGGTTTGAATTCTTTCTTTGCAGTCCCTCTATATGGACCTGTGTTAAATATCCGACAAAAAAATTAAAAAACTCCATGAACATCTATTTTCTACTATGAAGTAAAGAAAGAAAACACAGAATAATGTTACTAAAGTATTTTCAGGTAGTAAATATAGGAAAATGCCCATTTCTTGGGTGTTTGATCAGGTTTTTTTTTGTTGTTGTTGTTGCTTGGTTTTTTTGTTTTTTTTTTTGGTTTTTTTTTTTTAACTGAGAAACTGAAATCTTTCTGAGTTAGTGAGTACCAGGTATTTGGGAAAAATAAGGTGTTCACCTGTAGGTCTTTGCAGGTTCTTTTGAACCAGTATCCTTCTCAGAGTACCATCCATAGATGATTCCTCTATGTGAGACCGATCCCCAATAACTGTCCAGTACATCATCCTGAAATATTAAACACAAAAATTGAGCTGAATGCCTGCACAGAGCCTCAAAACACTTCACTGATACTCAGTTGTTGTGAGCCTTTCAACATTCCTGGCCGAGTGGAAGTCTTGATTTACATTTAAGTAAGTTGAGCAGGAAATTAAATAAACAACTTGGAAAAGTTTAGACAATTGCAGACATAATTTTCTTTCCCTTGTTGCGTTTTGCAATTTTATTGGAATTACAAAATCATAGTGATGTTGAAGGATACATACCCCTTTTTAGGATTCACAGCAATTGCATATGGCTCTCCTGCAATGCTGGTGAGGAGCCTGGTGCAGTTGGGTCCCTTCAGCTGTCCCACATTGATGGAGTACCTGAGGCTGGTCCAGTGAGTTGTGTAGTAGCTGAACCAATGCATCCGGGAATGATCAGTCCAGTAAATATTCCCAGCCACCCAGTCCACAGCAATGCCCCTGGGCCTTTTGAACTCTGGGCACTAAAAAGAACAGATGGTGCAGTCAGATTTGTGGAAATGGCCTTTCACAGCAGCTGCACAGCCACAGGTTTGTGTCATTTTTACAGAAATACTGCGTTGGAAAGACTTAAACTGCACCTGCAGGAGTTCAGCTCTGAGGGATCTGCTGACACCTCTATTCCATGGAACAAGGCAATTCTTCCTTCTAATCTGTTTCCTCAAGTTTAAGACTACCCACATTAGGGAGAAGTCACTTTGACATCAGCTACTTGACCTATTGATACTGAAGCAAACAAGTGTTTTGGACTGTAATTTGAAACCAAAGGAAAAGGAAATTTTAAGATTCTTCAGCTATTTTATTCCATGGTGTTCTATCCCAAAGCCCTCAGTGAAAACAGCGTGAGCCCATCCTGAGGAGTGGATAGAGAAAATCAGTGCATTTAGAAAACTGCATAAAATTCCCTCCGTATTCATGAATATTCATCTTCACACATAAAAGATGCTTGACTGATTATAACATTAAATTTATCAACTGCAGGTTCTCTATCATTTTTTTTCCATAATCATTAAGGCTTAGCTCTGAAAGATGGTGCTAAGGACAGGAGTTCATATTGCAAATAGGAGATTTATATGAACAAGTTTCTTTAAGTTTACTGGAATTCCTGTGGAAATGAGTATTCCCTGTAAAAGAGGATTACCCAACTCTTTCTAACATGAATGCAGTGAATCATAAAAACCTCAAGACCAGCATGAGATAAATACACATACAGTTGTTTGCTTATTTCCTTATAACTATATCAAGTTAAATTATGAAAAAACCCAGATATTCCTTAAAAAATGAAGCATGAAATGCTACTAAGCCACATAACTGAAAACCAGGAAAGAAAATCCTAAAATAACTTGTTTTCCCTTAAGTGTCAGAGTATCAGTCCCTAATACCACAAGACATTTGTAAACTATTTTCATCATAAAATAAAGGTCATTTAATTCTCTAGGTGAAATAACAGGACCACAATGGTGAATATATTGAGTTCATTGCTCATAAACTTTTTAATTCTGCAAAAATTTCACAGAAGGTATGTATTATAGATAGGTAGAACCTTGATTTTCTATTTAGAGGAATAGCAAAGCAGCAAAATCAGTCACTGCATTTACAAAACAGCAATTCTTTTAAGAATAGGGTCACAGTTGATTTTTAAAGTTAAATAAGATATTGTACCATCATTGGTATGAAATGATGACAGTGGTGGCATATGCTTCCACAAATAACAGAATTTTTTAAGAGTAGCATTTCCATACAACAAACTTTTTTCTTTGTTACTATACAATCAACATTCACAGAAAGGACCAGATACCAAAAAAGGGGATTTTCAGATAAGACTAACTGTATTTTTAGTCCAAACTGCTTTTAATTCTTGGCAATATTCAGGTACCTGAGTCAAGAAACCTCTCATACCTGAAGATCTTGTTGGATACCACAAGGATTAAGGGCTTGCAATGCTGGAACCAAATATTCTTCTAAAAGGAAAGCAGCTGTCCTGGCCAGAAAAACCTCTCACCTTTTCTTTTCTTTTGACTGTTCAAACCCACAGTTCACAAAAAGACTCTTTTTTGAGAGCCTGGAAAGACCAAGATGGGAGTTGCCAAGCAGGCTGAGATATGGTTCCCAAAAAAGGTGGTTCTAGAAGCAGATGAGACATCCTAAAAGAGGCATCCTACAAAAATTGGGGGATGAGGATGGGGTTGCTAAGGAATACTGACCCTGTCTCCTCAACCAGACAGAAGTCTGGTTTCAGTTCCAGTAATGCTGGGGGGATATTAAAGATCAAATGAAGAAGGAGATGAACAGAAGAAGTGTCAAGGAGCCATCTGGTGTAAGAGATTTAAAAAAAGATAATCACATGGCCACTAGCTGATGCTGTGGCCATGTGATTTCCAGTTGTGTTCATTAAGTTGCAGCTACATCATTTTTCTGAGGTCTTCTGCATCTTCTCACACTGTCTAGTAAAATTGCTAACTGGAAATGAGCTCTGACCTAACAGCTTATTTGGATTATGCTAATTTTGAAGAATAATTCTGCATGCAAAATAAGGATGAAAATACAGGAAGAAAATCACATTAATGTTTTCTACAGTGATTTTAGTGCACTTTGATGGTAATTATAATGTACTACAACTTATTAGAAAAATTGGGGTTTGAAAGCTAATTGCCTTTCACAGTTTGGAAGTCTCTGCACAGCTACAGACCACGTCAGCTTGATGACTTTTGATCAGAACTGCTGTCTTTTGTAAATTCTGTTTTCAAGGTAAAGAATTAATAACAAAAGAAAAAAAAAAACACATAAAAAAGAAGCTACAGTAACAACTTGGGTCTGTAAACCTTTTTCATATAATGGCAGATAACAGATTTTCAGCCCCTAAAGTTGAGTTTGACTGAAGAAAATATGTTGCACATGCAGTAGGAACACATGCCTTTGCAATGTTTAACAGGAAGAATAAATGACAAATCTAATTTGTATCATAAACACAGGTGAAGCAGTATCTTATTTATTTTGCAGATATTTTGGGTATGGAATTGCTGTGGAACCAAGTAAAGTTGTATTTTGCCTAAAATATCTTCTCTAAAAAATAATGCATTATCTAATGTTTTATTACTAGAACAGTAAAAAAGAAAATAAAAACAACAAAATGTTTAGAATTTTTCCCACTGAAACACAAAAGTTTTTTGATAGGTGAGCATCCCAGTGGCTGCAGTAATTCACCAAACCACCACTGGTATTACATAAAGTAGGATCATTTATAAACCCCAACCAGCTGATTCCATAAAGAGTCTTCTAAGTGCATAAACTTCATCCAGACAGAGCTGTAGCTCTAAGATAAAACCATAAATTCCTGCTGTTTAGAGAAAATGGGCTGGAAGCAGTTTCCATTCACAGGGGTGCACTGGGCCCTGGGGCAAGTGTTGGGAAACACAAGTGGACTCATCACAAGGGTGGTTAAGGGTTCTTGTGAAGCTCTCAGAACACTGGGGCTGGAGCAGGCTGCCAATAAACTGGAAACACCACAAAACCTGTGCTTTTCTTCCTGCTAGACAGCATCATCATTTTCATGCTCATCTTTTTGTCCTCTTCCATGAAATAAAGCACTTGAGCTGAAGTGTGGGGTGGCTCCGTGTTCATTGTTCACCTCAGGTAACTTCTGCAGCTCTCTCCAAGGATTAGGCAGCAAACAGCTGCTCCAGTTATCACCAATTCACTTTGACTGCCTGAACTCTGTTGGGATGAAATCCTCTTCTGCATCTGTCAATAAACTCTGAAGAGCTGATATTTACTATTTCCTTTAATGCTTGAATTTGTACCAGTCTTAAACCCCTTTCCACAGAAAATCAGGAGAGCTTCTTAAAGCTGTTCTCTGAGGAAGGCTCTTGATATGCTAATTCCGTGGAGCAATTTCGGTTGAGATGAATTTTTGCATTAATGTAATTACCTGAAAATGCAGGTGACTTTGTTCAAGTTTACTGTCCTGATTTACATATCAAAGTCTAGATATAAAAGTTATAATGTAACCTTTGAAAATTTACCTATTAAAAAAAAAACTTGGGTTAAAATTAAGGCATTCTCAAGCCTTTTAAAACCAAATTTCGGTGACAATACTAAAGCAACATTATAAAACCAATTAACCTATTGATCAGCTGCAAATAAGGCAACAATATTTGAATATTAATGAGATAACGCTGGGAAAATAACCAAATAGTTAAGTACAATGAGAAGAAAATGTTTCACAAATATAAATGAGAAGTGTCCAGGATATATTCAAATACAGTCTGTGCATTTTCCACTTTCAGATTTGTAAAAAAGCTTTGCCTAGCTTGGATCAAGCATTGTCACAAGGACCTACCTGCACTGAAGAGACAGGGCAACATGGGGTATAAAGAAAAACATAATTTTTTCAATATCTTGGAATAGAAAAGGAAGTGACTAAGAGATAGTCTCAGATAACAGTGAAAAAGGATACAAAAACTGAACACTATTTTAGTATGTTAGGAAAATACTGATTGTAAGAATATTTTATCTCTATTAGTTTAAACAGGGAGACAGTGACAAATGAGCTGTGAAAATTTCAATCCTTGGACTATGAAGATGTCTGAAGGAAGCTTATGCTCCATTTTATGGACCTCTAAGAAAGTATTCAATCTATTAGAGAGGCTGCAGGTCAGCAAACTGCTCTTGCTGCAGAATGCGTCTGCAGATTACCCCCCAAAAAGAAAGAAAATAAATAAATAAACCCACCACCTTCTCAACACTAACTTCACAAGGCTTTACACTTTTATTATTTTCTAATGAATAACTCAATACAGTGATCTGTTTATCAGGATTTTTTTTAACAGAAATGTACACCACACTGTTAAATGAGAAAAACTCCACAGTGGAATTACCTCACATCTTCAATACAAGTATCCTTCTGCAAAACTCAAATGACAGAGCAGACCTGTTAGAGATCCTGGCCATTATTTTGTACTTCAGATCTACTTTCCATACACTTTCTCTGAACAAAACCTAGATACTTCTGCTGGGCAGGGGGAAGTGTTGGTTTTAAACCACTCTTATAGATGCAACACCAGACTCCAGGTGTCTCCAGGGTCCACTGGTGCCTACATCAGGAGGCTTTTTGCCCTGCTGGTGTCAAAGGTCAGGAATGTCATTCATTTGGAGAGGAAATATCCTTGGGTGGATTGCACTCAGAAGTGGTTTCAGAAGTGTATGAATTATAGATGAAAGATTGGGCTACTGTTGCTACTCCTGTTTATACTGGGTGTATAAAAGCAGGCGTGTGATGGGAGGTCATCACTGTTAGCTCTCCTAAGTTTAAGGAAACGTGAAAAAGCCAGAGAGATGTTTTTTCTAACTGGCCAAGAAAAAAATTAAAACCTCTACTCTGCTATCAAATGCAATGAAGACTAAAAATCCCGAAATCTAAATTTACAGCATTATAGAAACACTAATATAAAGACCACATTGTTATTCTCAGTTCAGCAATATCACTTCCTAGAGAATTTTGCAGAAATATTTTAGGCAAAATGAGTAACAACCTACATTTATCTTGTTTTCAAATAAAGACCACTTAAAATAACCCAAGCTGATGACAATCCACATTTCTGTTGCAAAGTCCAAACCTACATTTATGCTTATTCACAATCAGATAATATGCAGTTCAACAAAAATGAGAATAAATACCAGTTGTTCTAACATTTAAATACATGTCATAACTTTGCCAATATCATTGTTTATATGATCACTGTAGAAATTAAGCTTGTGTTTAATCTCCATTTTCTGTCTTCCAAAGATTTGAAATTCATGGCTTTCTTCTTCTATATATTATATTCTTCCCTTTTCTCTGCTGAAATAAAAAATCTTGATGGTATACAGCCTCCCCAATGTTCTAATATAGTGTTTACTTCTCTGCAGGAAAGTTTTTTAAATCCTACAATTGTATTGTCTTGGAGACTCTACCAAATCTGTCAGAGTCTTGAACAGAAAAGCTTTAGTAGCCATATATATCACTGAAATAAAATCATTCTCAGATAGACATTTTAATTTACTGAATCACCCCATGCTATTACAGAAGAGTCAGAATAGAAAAATAAATTGAATGAAATTTGTGTGATTTAATCTTTGATTTTGATCACTTACTATCAAGCCACTGTTACTCTGCCTTCTCTCTCTGTCGTGAAGTTTTCTGTAGAAAATCCCTCCTGGATTAAACTGAGTGCTCCAAACAATCATATCCCCTTGAAAATATGCATCCATTCCAGTTATCCTTGAATTGTGTTCAATATGTGATATTTGCTGATGAGCATCACTGTAGTTGAATGGATATGCAAAACCCAGGATGTCAGTGTCATTAGCAACATAGAGAACTTGATCTTCAGAGCCTAGGGATTATTATAATGAAACAAAAATAAGGTAAATGTCAACTAATGCAAAAATCAGTGTGTTTTACTCAAGTAGCTTTTTGGCGCTCAGCTGATATAATTTCTGAGGTTAAAATTATTTTCTGGTTGTTGAAGCCTGCAGAAACACCTACACTCTGGGCAATGAATGCAACTCTTGATATTCTGATATCAACATATCAACTTCAGTGCTCTCCAAGCACACAGTGAGACACCCAGGATGACGTTTTAAGGTGTATGTAATATTAGAATTTGAATATTTTTAAGCAGTACACAAAAATACAGGATATTATGCAATCAGCCCATATGAATCCCATGTTTTTATACGCATGCTGCCATTAGAGGTTCCTAAATGTATATATTAAAAGAACACAGAGCTGTCAATAAAGATGTTTTTAAATTGCTCTATTGGAAATTACAAGTGGAATGATTTTATCTTTAGTGAAGGCTGTGAAGTTTTGACTGCAACAGAACCTGTGTCTTACATCTCATTTCAGACAGCCAGATACCATCTTAATCCAGATGTTGTAAAGTATATTATTCATAAGAAAATGTTCTCTAATATCAATACATTGAGTATTGAGAAAGTTAAAGTCTGCTTGATAATTTCGAATGTATTTGGGTAATTTTTATTTCTCCATTCATATCTCATTTATCCATAGAGAATCAATTTAAAATGTCACACTTCCTCCTTATGAGTATGAAATATCAAACACCATTTTTTCCCTTCCGCCTGATAAATGCAAGAACAAAGAGGAGGTTGGTTAAAGCAAATATCAATGAGGAAAGAAGGAAGCATGAACTGTGTTACAATGGAATTGAAGCTCGTGGACAAGTCAGATTTAGGATAATGATTCCCAGATTTTTAAATTATAAGCTCTCAGAATTATGTCTGTGTTCCTATAATAACAAACCATTATCTTCAATTAGTAACCCTATTTGTTCCCATGTCATAAATTGATTTCTTTAGTAACAGGCAATGATGCCAAACCCTGACAGAGTCCATGTTTTGTGTGAAATACTAATGACTCATTAATATGATCTTCCCATGGCAAATTTGCTTCAAAATTATGGACAATCTAGATAACAACTGACAGCACTGACTATTTTGATTTTTACAGTCTTACCTTTTGCTATGCAACTGTTGTTCCTCTCCTTATAATTTTTCTCACAGGCACATCTGTAAGAGCCCTTTAAATTATGGCAGTGTTGGGAGCACGTACCAAACACCATGCACTCATTGATATCTATGAAGAAAAAATTGTAATTTATGTACCTGTAGTTTAATGGGCTATTATTTAAAACGTTCTTAAAATCATGGAACGAAGCAGATGAACAAAGGGAACTCATAAACATTTTCTTGTTAATTACCATGGCACCATACATATTAAGACTACATTTTCTACGGAAATTCACTTATTATCTGTTCACTTTGATTTCAATTTCATATTATGCATATTTATTATTTTATGCATCTCAAAATATCCTCATATGTCAACTTCAACATCAATGTTAAATTATCTACTAGACCTTAAAAAATCCATTTAGTCCTTAAATTATTTAATAGCCTGACTTGAACCTTTTAACATTCTAACAACTTATGTTCAATTAGTTGTTCTTAACAACTAATGCTAAATTTTTGATAACCTCTCCAGGTAAAATGTATGAACCTACATTTTGTAAATACTTTCTGGTGTTTGGTTTTGTTTGTTGTAGATTTTTTTGTTGTTCTTTGTTTTGGTTTGGTTTTTTTGGTTTTGTTTTTTATTTCTTGATGCCATAGCTATCAAACAGCTTTTATTCTGTGGAAAAATAAAACCCCAAATGTGATATGTATCTCCTTCTTCAGCACAGAAAATTGACTTTTAATACTTCACAACAAGGGAAGATGGAAAATATCTGTACCTTCACATTGTCTATTCCTCCTGTTTCTCTGAAATCCAGGTTTACACTGACACAAAAGGGATGATTTTGTTTGATTACAGAATGCATCATCTCCACAAGGATTCACATTATCTTCACATGTATATTCAGCGATGCCTAAACATAAACAAAATGTCTAAAAAATCCCTGGTTGAATTGTTCAAAGGGTTAAAAATTATACCTAAAGTGACAACAACAAATAACAAATTCATCTTTCTCTTTAAAAGGGATCAGGTAAATTTTTAACAAATAAATGACATTATAGTGTTTATCTACATCTGCATAATTTAATGTATTATATTTTATGCAATGACTCTATTTAACTGAGATACATTTCCCATCAAGAATTTCATACTACAAATTTTCTTGCAAATATGAAACAATACAATCAACTTGCGCTTAAATTTTGTAAAGAACTCATATCTACACCAAAAAACCTCTACAACTTGAATTGCTACCAAATTTGCCTTGCTCTTGTGGTACAGAATTCCATCCGTTTTTAACTAAAAGAAGGAACTACACTAAACTGACTTCTGTATTGTTCAATAGGTCTTGCCCAGATAAATGTCTTGGTTAATTGTTTCTTTTCTGCTACAATCAAGAGAACAGATCTTGCCAGCCCAACTCACGTATTTTGCAGTCTTGCTCATCTGAGCCATCTCCACAGTCATCAAACCAGTCACACTGCAGCTCCATGGGAATGCACTTCTTGTCATTGCAAGCAAACTCATCTTTTTTACACGGTCTGGCTTTATATGTTATTTTATCTACATAATTACAGATTAATAAGAGAAAAAATAAATCAGTATTTAGGATTCTCAGGTTATTTTAGACACAAACAAATGGGAATGACTGCCAAGCATTAAGCAACTGGAATTTATTTCAAGCTTAAATTCTTTCGGTTTCAAATTCTGATCTGCTAACCTGCAGTTAAGCCTTACTGAAGGACAAGCAGATCTGTGCAACAAAGTTTGCCTTCAAGGTGTTTTCTCTGATCTGAATGCCTTGAAAGGTGATATCACCTACCACAGTGATCCTCATCCGAGTTATCTCCACAGTCATCGACCTCGTTGCAAATCTGCTCAGGCCGCAGACAAACCCTGTTGTTCCTACATCTGTAGGGCCTCGTTGGAGGGCAGGGAAACTTCACTGCACAGCAAAGAAAAGAAGCAGCTGTTAGTCAGCTGTTAATCCTTTTTTAATGACACATCAAAGCCAGATATGTGTTGGCACTCTAAGTTCTTCCTGTAGAGGTTTTGTGTGATAAGGGTGATTTATACCTTTTTTTGAGAACTAGTAAATATGGCAGAAAAATAGCAAAAGAAGGATGAAGCGTAATGATGCTCAATATTACATCACGCAAGTAAATTTTTCCTCCCTCTGTGGGTTTCCTACAGAAACGTTTCATTTCTCAAAAATAGCAAATATCCAACATCTGAAATTACATGAAAAGCAATAACAAAAGAAAACTATATCCCCATATTTCAAGCTTATCTTCTAAGCAAAACAAAATTTAAGACACATGTGCCTTTATATATTTGTGTGTCTCAAATGTCATTCTTGCTTTATTATACTAAAAAACTCTGAAAAATATAATGCCATACCACACATTTCAGCAACTTCATCAGAGTTATCTCCACAGTCATCCTCACCATCACAAACCCAAAAATGTAGTTTGCAGAGGGAATTGTTGCACAGAAATTCATCAGCTCTACAAATATTTCCCCCTGGGAAGATGAAAAGATGACAGAAAGAAAAAAAAAAAAAAAAAAAAAACAAAAAAAAAAAAAAAAAAAAAAAAAAAAAAAAAAGCCAGGAAAACAGAAGAAGAAAGAAAGTCAATTTTTGATCAAACCACTGCAACCACTTATCACATACTATTTGCAGAGAGTAACACAGGTAGCATAACTAAATTTACAGATCCCAAAGGAACAGGCTGGAGAGGCAGAGGAATACTCATTCAAAAACTCTTCCTTGACCAAACAGCTCCTGTTCCTGGCTGCTGGCTGGGAATTACCAAACCAGTGACCAGCTGGGCATGTTCCACTTGCATTTAGCCAGGAGATGTTTAAAATCCCTGTCTGCAACTCTCCTTGGTGATGCAGCCTCTTAGCAAAGGCCTGGCCAGCATATCAGGAATTTGGGCCATCAGAGAAAGAGATAAACAGAAATAGGGCCAAACATGCGAAAAGCCACTTCAGTCCAGGTTTGTTTCACACCCATGTCTGATTCTCCCCCTATTCCTGCTCCACTCTCTGAGTCACACGTCAGAGACAAAGTGCTTGCAGCCCATCAGCCATGAAGCAGCACCTTCTTCTTCTCCTGAGGAGCAACAGGCTTGGCCAGGTCTGTAAAACCCCCACCACCTCTAAATGCTCTATCCAGGAAAGGTCCAGCCATGTGGGCACAGAACAGTTAAAATTAAGGGACCTCTGACAGGATCTTCCTTTCTGTAACTTCTGAAATGCCTCATCAGGATATTTATTGAGCGCTGGAAGCAGCAAGGATAAAATCTTCCATGTGCTCTGAATCATCTAACAAAAGGGAACATGGGGTAAGGGAAAATGGTTTAGGACAGAATGCTGTCAGGCTGTAAAAATTAGTTGAAGGTAGATTCAGTTTTAATGTGTGTTGTAATAAGAGAGAATTTGTTTCTAAATTATGACTAAATTTTATCACTTCCAATCAACAAAGTTATGGAAAGTTCTTGCAATTAATTTCCTACAAAACACATTTTTTTGCTAACTGGATTTTCAGTTTCCTGAGAGGAGTGGTGTATAAAATAAATAAAGCTGTGTACTTGCAGAGAAGGAAACAATGAAATTTTATATGATAATGCCAAAACTCTCACTGTGGCTTACCTCAATGCATTACACCCACTCTAAGAGCTAGATCAGGCTTCAGTGGCTTTTTACTCATTCATTCAATGCCCTGTTCACACCTCATTAAAATCAACAGAAGGCTTTCTTTTGCTATAAAGGTTCAGAATGGCTGAACTTTTTTCCCCCAAAAACTAATTTCCATGAAATGTCCATTGCATAAAAGGATGTTCAAACTCTCACACTATGCTACCAGGTATAATTCACTCCCAAGGCAAATATAACTTATGAACATTAACAGAAATATCCTGTATAATTATCCAAGGAAAATATATAAAATTCAAGTACTCTTCATGATGAAAGGCATGAATCCAAATAATAGTGTGTGCAATCACAATATAACCATCATTCTAGTTGTTTAATAAGACTGAAGAGAGTTATTTTTATAAACATGCACAGTGGGCCACAGATAAATATTATGGATATTATTTTAGAATCCTGTAGAATAAAACTCCATTTGTGTTTGCTGTATTTCAAAAGATGAAAAAATTTGTTATCAGTGAGATAAACTGGCATTTCTTTCATGTGATTGCTCTGGCTGTCATAATTCCTTTATAAAATAGATTTCTGCAACAGAATCATAATTGTGACATAAATACAAAGTATGATAGCAATAACCAACTAGGAATAGGCTTCTTATTGTATTGTAAGCAATTTGCAGTTCACAGAAGCTCCATTATGCTGCCCAAAGAATAATGTGGGCATCAGATAAAATAAGTGTATTGCTATTTACTTACACTCCATTGGGCATTAAAGAGATACAGTCCAGATATTTTAAAAGCAGTTTTAAAATGGACTAGATGGTTGTTATTTATTTATTTATTTGACTTTGTTATCTTCTAGATATCTTCTATCTTTGTTGTCTTCTAGATGTCTAAACATCTCTGGAATATTCTCCACATTCTCTGAATTTTCTGGTCTTTCTTTCAAACTTAATGATCCCCACATGATGTCTTTTTTTTTTTTTCCTTTAGTCTTATGTATTGTGTAATGGACTTAAAACAGGAAAATTTACTATGATTGCTTTGTACCTGATTATAATCCCATATAACTGTACTCCATTATGTTTTGAATTTATGCACAGAACATGTGACTGTAGATGGCTAACACACAGAATTACCTACTTTAAAGAAAAAGAAAGACGAAAAAACCAGGAAAACCCCCCCAAAAAGAAGACAAAATGCCGATTAGAATTATTCTTTAGAAAAAAACTCCTTTAATTTGACTTAGAGGAGGGGCTGGTGAGGAATGTGGAGCTCAAGGGCAGCCAGGGCTGCAGTGACCATGGAATGGTGGAGTTCAAATCCCTTAGGGCTGCAAGGAGGATGCAGAGCAAGCTCCCTGCAGGGCTCCAGGACAGCACACTTGGGCTTCTCCAGGATGCACTTGGGAAAGCCCCGGAGGGAAGAGGGGCCCAGGAGAGCCTGGTTGGTATCCAAGCATCACCTCATCCAAGCCCAGGAGGGATGTGTCCCAACAAAGTCAAAATGTGCCAGAAGGACTCGGTGGATGAACAAGTTGCTCCTGGACAAAGACAAAAAAGAAGGTGAAGCACTGGCCCAGAGACGCCCATCCCTGCAAGTGGCCAAGGCCAGGTTGGATGGGGCTTGGAGCAACCTGGGACAGTGAAAGGTGTCCCTGCTCATGGCAGAGGGCAGGAACTGGATGAATTTTAAGGTCTCTTCCAATCCAAAGTGTTCTGTGATTGTCTGAAATAAACAGAAACCTGGGCTCTTAGGATGACTTATTTAGCAAATGTTTATTATATTGCACAGCTGTGTGATTTATTGTGCATGGCTTTGTAGTTTATTGGGGCCTGTAAAAGCTTGAATTAACCAGATTTACTGCTGATTTCCTTGATGAAAAAGAATATGCTTCCAGTAACAACATAACCTTTTTCATCACTGGGGAGGGAAACAAAGGAGGAACAAGTCATAAACAACCCAAGTTTTGCTTATTCCTGCAGATCACTTTTGAAGCTGCTGTACTGTCTTTGTGAGGAGAGGTCACAGAACTTTCCTTTCTCCACTCAGAATGGCCAGGGTACCACTAACTTGCAGTGTGTGTGCTCATAAAGCCCAATAAATGTTTTTAGAAGGTGTCTCTTGCCTTGGTCACAGTTTTCTTCATCGCTGCCATCCACACAGTCGTGGATCCCATCACACAGCCATCGCACAGGGATGCAGTAGGCCTTGTTTCTGCACCGAAACTGATCTTCTCTGCATTCTGCCACACAATCCATCTGTGGGAATACAGCTATGCATTAATGAATGGCAGCAACAACAACTCGTCCATGCTGCCAGGAGGGAGCAGCTCCTGGTGGAAACCGCCCCAGAGCCAGGCTTGGGGGTTGACTTTGAGAAAACAAATTTCTGCACTCCAAAACCTGCCCACAGAGCAAGAAACATACAACCACGGGGCTAAGTTATCTGACAGCACTCAAAGGATGCAAGAAAACCCTATTTGCCTTTTCAATTATTTCGAGACCTAAAAAACTTACAAAAAAAATATCAGGAAGAAGAAACAAATGACCAGAAATGTGTCAGGTACCTCATCAGATCCATCAGCACAGTCCAACTCCCCGTTGCATTTCAAGGATGCTGAAATGCAGCCTCCACTTGCACACACGTACTCACTTGAAGAGCAGGTTGGAGATGCTGGTTACAAACACATATTTTAGCATTAAGAAAAAGACAATTTATGAATAAATTGATTTTTAAAGTTTCCTTCTGGTTAATAGTGAGCCAACTTGAGTCTAAGCACTTTCGTAAACTATTCAACAAATCTGAATTGTGATATCCTAAATAAATTGTATAATGACAGTGAAAAGGTGTTTGAGTTTTTTCACTTAGAAATTTAGTTTTATTTTCTCCTCATGCTTGATAACAAAGGCAACTATACAAATGCATATATTCATAGAATATTTTAAAAATGGCATTCCTTAAAATGGGCTTAGAGTTTAGCTAAATGTAGCTAATTTATAAAGCTAAATTTTTTGGAAACCATCTCATTGGAAAGTATTATTACATTTAAAACACATAAATATTAAGCAGGATATTTTAATATAAAGGTGGATATTTTTTGTTGCACTATAAATCAGGAGAGTTTTGTTATAGGCTTTTATCAGTTACATCTAGCTTACAAAAAAATTTAGGAAAGGTCCTGCAAAAATCAACAACTCTATTTTCGAAGAAAGAAAAAACCAAAAAAAACCAAAAACCCCCCCAAAAATCCCCAACAATTTAGTATACAAAATCTTTGTGTAAGGACTATTAAACTTTGAATGAAGACCACAAAACAAAACATTTCAGGACATGCCAAGATTTACTGACATTTTCAGAGCAGAATTTTATATGTTGCCTATTTATTATCAAATTACAATTCAAAATAATTAAATTAAATACCTATGCCCCAACAGGCTTCATGCTGCAGAGTTGTACAGAAGTAGGATTTTCAAAACACCAGACACAATGATGCAAACTCAAAAGGTAAAGTTTCAGGTGTTTTTGTACTTTCTCACTACTAGTAGTACCCAAGAAGTCATGATTTGAGGATTTATATTCTTCCTTCACTCTGATTCATTCCTGGATTCATTTTATAATTCAGAATTATTTAAAACAATACCTGGTTCACAGTTTTTCTCATCATCCCCAAGTTTGCAGTCCTCGTGACCATCACATTTCCATTTTGCTGAGATGCACTGGCCATTGGAGCACTGGAACTGATCCCTAGAACAGCCTGTTTCACAATACCTCTGGTACCAAAGAAACAACCAATAAACAAGATCAAGAGTTTATATTAAACATTGGTAAATATGCAGCTGGTGACAGAAGTTACAGCCCACAGTCCTCCATGTTATGAAATATGTAGTAATTAAAGTCTTGTGAAATGAAATATATTTGAGGATATGATTCAAAATGGTGGCTCACACCCTCTAAATAGCTGGAAACACCTGAGGTCCAGTATTGACAGGAAAAGAGAAGGGAAAAAAGGGGAAAAAAACCCCAAAAAACCCAAGAAAACCAGTGAAGTATTATCCAGTGAGCTTCTGATACAAAACAGCCTTCATTGCTCTCTCAAAAAAATCTCTCAAACCAAACCAGTGCTGTGTGTAAAAAGAATGGTTTCCCAATCAGGACAAAAAGTATTTATTGATGAGAAGAGGTTCAGGTCGCTGCTGGGACAAGAAAATGTAGAATACTCTTCAACTTTACTTGATTTATTTGTATGTTCTCTTTTAGGAATAATCACATCAAGAGGTTTGGTTTTAATTTAATGATGATATTTGCATACAGGGATTCATGTATAGAGTTCCCACTGCTGCCTTTTAGAAAATTTCTCTGCAGGAATCCATTCTCCAACAATTTAAAACTATGAATTCCCTGAAGAAAGACTTTTTCTGGAAGATGCCTACCTCATCTGAACCATCTGCACAGTCATAGTCTCCATCACACCAGAATCTTGCTGAAACACAGTCTCCATTTGCACAAGGAAAGTCTTTCAAAGTGCATGTTTGAGGCTCTGAAGAAAGAAAAGAAAAAAAAAACACTAGGTTTATTAGCATTTCCTTTAAATCAATAAATAGAAATAAATATAAATTCCTCCAATCAATAAATAGAAATAAATATAAAGAAATATAAACAAATATAAATAAATAACATGAAATAAAAATAAATAAATAAAAATAAACACCCCCTCCCCAAGAATAAATATTACAAACTCAAAACAACTAGCTTGCAAATGATAAGGAGTGGTTTTCTGTGGAATTTTTTTCCACAGTATCTTTTAACTAAATTTCATTTACATATAGTAAGATAGTAATGAAAATACTTTCATTACTTTCATACATTTGGGTTCTACTAAATTTCTTTGTAAAATAACATGATGTTGAGTATATATATATTTTATGAATTTCCACACATGTCTGTCATTACAGGGTTTGTGAGATAAGCACCAGAGGCCAGAAATACATTTTGCATGTCAATATCCAATGAAATTGGAACTAAGCAGATTTCTGACTTTCCATCACATAGTAGCACATCATTTATCAAATATCTTTTAGAATGTGTGTGCCAAGAGTCAGCTTCCCCTCTGCCCAGCATTCAGGGGAATGGCAAATGGAACACAAAATTTGGTGTTTCAAATAAAATTTTTCACTACTGCTGACACAGAAACATTGGTAAGGGGGAACTCTGGGGAAGAGTCCCAGAGGAGAACATCATGTGCATTCCTCCTGAGAATGAGGACCACTCCAAAAGACATTTTTTGGATGCTGGAGCATCAGACTAAACAAAGGTAAAAAGTATTGGGGATTTAGGAGAAGTTCAGCAAGTCTCAATATGCAATTTAGATCTGCCAGTCAGAGGGCTTGGGGGAAAAAAGGACTTAAAAAGCAAACAGAGATTATTTGTGGGATTATTTCCACCACAGGAAAGAATGCATTATGCAAATGATGTAAAATCATGAATAAGAATTAATTAGTAAAATCTTTTTAGCAGAGAGATGGGAAACAGCAAATGACAGTGACAGAACCAAAGGAAGAAGGGGAAAAAAAAAAAAAAGAGGTGAGACAGAGCAGAGAGCAGCAATGGAGAGCAGGAATGGACAGCAATAAAGTGAGAAATGCTGAAGGGTTCTTTAGTGAGTTATGGAAGGTGCAAGCATGAATGCTTTTCTAAAATGTACCAAAGTGATAAAAGCAAACACAAAAGTAAAGGTCTCAAACGGAGAAAAATTTGGTAAATACCAGCATGAGAATACAACACACATAAGTTACATGGATGTAACAAACTTGACTTCAGGTGTTTTGGTTTTTTGATTTTGTTTCCCTCCCACCAGGATTTATAAAAATCAAAAACTATTCCAGGAAAGGAGTAGTTTTAACCAATTTTCCACTGCCTTTTTCCCACTCTTTACTTCATAAAAAGACTCAAAATGACTCTGTTTGAAATTCTTTAAGATAAATTTCATTTTTCAGGTATGAACAAATTTTAATTTTGAAGCTCTAGGAAAGTAATTTTAAAAGCACATCTACAGGAATTGTATCAGTTCTCCAGAAATGATGTATTTCAGCAAATCAAAGGTTGGCATTTATGTGGACTCATTATATGCACACTACCTCAAATTTTTTTTCAAAGTGTAAGCTCTAGCAAATCCCTGACATTTGATTCTTTTTGTTTTTAACAAGCCAAGAAGGATAATTTTATGACATAATAAAATATATAAAGGAAATAAATTGTGGGAAAAGTAATTCACAAACAAAAAAAAATTGCCATGTTTCTATATTGATTGGAAAAAATACAAGCAAATACTTTTGCTATACTGCTAATAAATTATTTATAAGCAGAGATTTGATACTGAGAAAAATGTACACAAAAAGCTAAGTACTCAATTCTCTGCTTGCAAGAAATATTTCTTCTGCTGCTGGGATCCAGCTCTGTGATTTACATATGAACACAGAAAAGTATTTTTCCATCAGTGCTCAGATTGTTAGAAAGGAATAATTATTAATACAAAACAATATTAAAGGAACAAGCATTAATGGACTTCTGTATAACCCATGAAGGACAGTATTCTTTAGCTTCTGCTTTACCAAAACACTGAAACTCCTTCCCAAAAAAAGCATTGGGGTTATAAACCTATCCTCGGACAAAATTAACTAATTTGTTTTCTTGGCAACTTGTAGAAGCAACAAAAGAGCATTAGGAAGAACTTGTAGCAGCACAAATATTTTACACTGATTGAATTCATGTCTTGCTACAACATTATTGTGCTTGCTTTGCTTCAATGGTTACAGTATCTTACATTTTCTTTAACCACATTAAATATAAAAAAATTCCTGTGCCTTCTTTTTAGGTTAGATAGATAGTATAAGATTCATTCCTATGGAATTTTCCTTTTTTGGACTTTCCTGAAAGAAGAAACACTATTTTTGTGGTATTCTGTTTTTAAAAATCCAAATAAACTCTGAAAGCAAATTCTCTCTTCAGACAGATATTACCTCAGAAGAGTTAACAAGGAATCCTACATTTCTTATTGTGGACCCTTTATGTACCAATATCCAAGCTAAAAACTCTTATTTCAGTGTCCAAATATAGTTTAAAAACAATAGACTGTAAGGCAAAGAATGACAAAAGCTCTTATAAGGACCTGTATCACCTATTAAAAATGCCTTACTCTCCCACTGCTTAATAATCTGGTGAATTAAAAATAAATACTACTATTACTTTACCTTTATCAGTTAGTTACATATCAAATTTCTTATCTCTGAAAAAGAACCATAAACACTGTTCAGAGGTAAAGTGATAAGCACTTGTTAACAAGGGATTTGGATCAAACACTACCTGCTCATTACATGTTAAAAAAAATAAAAACTGAACGGGTGTGAAAAATGATTATTGTTGTATCATTGTGCCCATTAAGACTTCGTTATGATATGACCAGAAGAGTGAATTTCTTGCATGTGAAGAAACTATAGAGAAAAGTGCTAATGCTTGAGCTGAATTTCTGTAATTCAGTGAATTCATTCCACATTCTTGAGAAACAACTCATTTTCTGATATAGTTCTCTGACAGCCCTTTGTGTATTATATTCATGGATGCCATGAACAATTTATCTCACTGTGCAATGTTACTTATTTTGTCAAATCCTTTTGAAGTTCTAATTTCATATATATTTGTTTCATTACACTTTATTCTGTAAGTGGCTTGATGCTCTATAAATTTTTTATGCAACTATTTCAAACAGCTGAACAGTATTATGTACTGTCCCAGTGCTTCCAAGATTTTGGATTTTAAAACTGTGCCAGCCTACTGTGTTTAATTTAAACAGTAGAATCTATAGCTAGAAATTAAGTATGCATTTGACAAGCAAAAGTAAATTTAAAAAAAACCCTAACACCTTTTTTACCTGGGTACTGTCAATTCACTAATTCCATCCATTACAATTAATTACAAATTTCTTTAAGTCTAGAGAACAACCAAGAACTGAATTTATAACTTAGCTACTAATATGGACACAAAGTTGGCTAAAACCATAATTTTCTTTTTTCTTAGAAACTTCAGATTATTTCTCTCATTATTTGAACTTTTAAATATCGCTTTGTGATATTTAATCTTTGTGATTTAATCTTTGTGATTTAATCTTTGTGATATCTGATCTTTAAGGAAGAGAATTGTTACTGCTGGATCATGCACATGGCTAATTCCAAATATGATACTCAGCACTTATTTTGCCTACAGCAACAACATTTTGTGGAATTTGAAATGTAACTAATTGATAAAGGTAAACTAATTGTAATATTTATTTTTAATTCACCAGATTACTGAGCAGTTGGGGGTCAGGCATTTTTTCATAGCTGATACAGCTCTTTATAAGAGTGAACAGAATTGGAGAATTACAGCAGGGGACATTTTCAATTGTGGTCAGCTGATTTTCAGCAGATCAGACGGTGTTGAATGAAAATACACACCTTTGTTTTATCAAAATTCAAAAGTTTCCTCTTGCACGTTGCTAACCTGACTCTGTTCTAACATGGACCAAGGTAAAAGTTACTTACTACAGTTTTCTTCATCAGAATTATCTCCACAATCATTCTGGCTGTCACATCTCCAGTGATCTGGAATGCAGTTGTTGTTTTTGCACTGGAACTCATGAGGTCCACAAGTTTTTTTATCTGTAATTAGGGAGAATAACGTTTACAGCATTGGAAACAAAGAGTCAAAATGAGAAACACTCACACTGAAAGCATTTTAAAGTTACTGGATACATATAAGGACAAGTAACCATAATATTTGAAGTTTTACTTTCACAAATAATTTATTTCTCATAACATTCTTTAAACTTCTATTTATACATTCACACCCAAATCTTAAATTTGATGAAATTAAAATATGCAGTGTATAAACTGTCATATATAGTTAAAAAGTATAAACTTTAGAAAGGGTCACAAGAGAGGGTATTAGTACACTGAATCTCAAGAACTGAATTGACTTTTCTTTGAATTTATCGGTAAGATTGCCCTAAAAAAGATCAGATCACAGTAAGCTACTAGAATATTGATTTGAAAAATGTACAAAATACATATTTCTCAAAAGTTATTTTTGCATATAATAATTTAAAACAGAAAATTTTGCACTTTGATTTAAATTTTTACCTATTGATGGATTGGATTGGATGTTACTCATATGAGGTAAAACATTACAAAGCCTATAGTGCTGACCTGAGGGACATTTCCTTCAGGTTCTATATTTTCAATGAGCTTTTCTATTTACAGAGGAGCATTGGAAGCCTCTTAGAGATACATGAACACCCTGGACTCCTCCAGCAGGAAGGAGCTGCCTCTGTGTTTTCTGTGAGCAACTCTTGAATAATTTGTTCAGCTTCTAAGGACTGAGATGAAATGAAGTAAATTAAAAAGTTATCAGTGACATTTTCGTTGGGGGAGGAAAAAAACCCAGTTTGCTTTGTAAAAGCCTCAATGGCATATTTAAAATTACATGTCACTGTGATATTGCACTAGAAAATGTTTAAATTTCTGTTAGGCAAAGTCAAAACATGTCAGAACAGCTTCACTCTGCTCTCATGGCAAGCCCTGGGCTGCTCATGACTGACAAACAGCAGCTTCAAGCACCTGATTCCTCTGCTGCTGAACCACAAATCAGAGGTGCTAATTTTATGCTAAGGGCCAAATGTTGCATTTTCTCTTTTGTTTCAGGTGTGGCTCTGGAGCCAGACTGATAAGTGTTTCAGCTCAGTTGTGTGCACTCAAAAATCTGGTCACTGCAATTCTGCCTTTTTTGTTTGCTCCTTGCTCTTTGCAATAAGTTTTCTCCCAAAGTATGTTTTTTTCCATGATCTTTTTTAATATTACAGTCTATGATACTTGCATCATGATATTTCAAACGCTTGCACTGGCAAACAATTAAAAATGTTTAACATTACAAAACATAAAAATATTCCTGCCAAACTTATGACACTCTTGCATTTTCACTCTGTAGCTCTGCAAAGGATAAAGTTTCAAACCTGAAATCCATCCTATGTTTATTAAAATACTTCCAGTAAAGTCTGCAATCTCCCACTAGAGTACCTGCCCACCAACTGAGTTGCAGCACTAATGACAGATAACATCACAGCAACAGATAAATATTCTATTTATCCCTCCACATTCAGTAGAAATACCAAGATGTAATCAGTAATACACAGAAGCCAGAGATGACACCCATTCATTTCAGGTACCTGAACATGAAATATATATTTTCTTACTCTTCATAAAGAATTATTTAGTTCTCAAGCATGCTAAATTCATTTTGTAGCATTTCCTTTTCTAAGCATGTCAAGAAAAGATAGATTTTTTTTAATTTATTCAACCTTAACCTCTGATTGCTACTTGAATGTTAATCTTTGTCTTCATACTGTATTCCTAGCAAAAAATAAAGAAATACATTTTTTTTAATACAAAATATTTTGCATTTTTGTAAGGTTCTCCCTTTTTCACAAATCTGAAAACTTTGTTTTTCCTCTGGGTTGAATGATCTCTGACAGCTGACAATGTCTTACAAACCAGATTTGCTTGTTTTGTATTTCTTCACTTTATTGAGAACTGAGGGAAACATTGGGATACTAGAGATAGGATATAACAAAGAGAAAAATTTGGGAAAGTCGCGTAACAATTATCTGATCTTTGAGAACGATGCATTCATTCACCTCAAATGAAACAGAGCAAGACCTTAATTACTGAAAATTGTGGAACCATGAAAAGCACATGGGGGCCCACACACTTTTTGCCATCTCTGCCTTCAACACTAAATTGCTTTCTCATTTTTCTTAAAATGAGACCACCTTAAAGTGTGAAAGTTCAGCTAGAACTGGTGCAAAGGCAAAGGAGCAAGCAGTGATAACTCCATTTTCATATTGCTTTCTTCAAATTGTCATTAAGAGATTAAATGACCTGCTGTAACAGGCACAGCCCTTCCTTAGAAATTTGTGTGACCTGAGGGAGCTGCTGCTGGGTTGGGTTCACGTTTTTGTGCTGAACTGAACTAGGATTTTATTCTAGAAATACTTCTAAATGAGCATGAGGAAAACAGGATGAAGGCTTAAATGGGGAAACAAAAGGAAAACAAGGCAAAAAAACCCCATCTGCACCCTTTTGATTCAAATATCAATCCCTGTGAATGAAACCACTAATTGTATGCATTGTTCTTCTTTGGGGATTTTAAATCCATATATTTTCACATGGGTGCATGTGTGTGTGTGTGTGTGTGTGTGTGTGTGTGTGTGAGAGGGAAAAAAAATCCAAAACTAAAAGCAATTTGCTTTTGATGCCGGATCAGCTGGCTATCCTAGAGCTTGGCAGGCTGTCACCCATGCTGGAGACAGGAAATTATAAGCCTGTTGAAGGAAGTTCAAGATTATATAATGCATCCTCCAAGTGCCTCAAAGAAAATATCCTTTATCTTCAAGGAAAAAAGCCTACTTTTTTACTTTCATAGCTAAAAATAAAATCAATATTTAAAAAAGTGAGAAGGAAGAAAGCAGTCACGCCAATGTTGACACATCAGGGAAATAAAGACCTGAAACACACATAACCTTTAAAGACTATTATAAAATCCCTTTTCAAGACCACATACAGCTTTCTTCAGATTCTAACTCAAACTGGTCCATTTTGATGTAAAGTACCAAAGTTGTGAGCAAGGACTAGCATAAGCTAAAGGCTTTCTTTAATTGCCTGGACAGTTAGCACCAATGAACTCTACCTCTTGTTCTCTGAGAAACACCAGGCAATCATAAAGAAACCCACATTTCCTGATTCTGCCTCAACTGTCTGAGTTGGAAAGCAACCACAGAAGAATAAATACATTTACACTGCTTCTGGAAATGTACTCAGTGTAATATCTCCAATAACACACAGCAGCAGAAGTTGACTAAGCAAAATACATATGGACATGCAGCACTCAAGCAAAAAGAGATTCTTGTACACAAGTTTTGCATTGCAGACATTTTAGAAATGAACTACAAACAATAACAAATTAGTGTTACATCAACATATGTAGATCCTTTCTATACTCATTCATATATTTCATAGAATTTGATTCTATCAAACTTTGTATATAAAAATAACAATCTTTAACTTGAAAAATAAAATGCAGAAGAGCAAATTGTGTTGAAACTACTGCCATTGTAAGGTCATTTAACCATATTTCAAATGCTAAAAAATATGGAAAACTTCAAAATGTGATTAAACACACCCTGTTCTTGTCAAGGCTTAGCTGTTCCATGTGTACTCAACTGTGTTTGGCACAGAAATTGTGACTATGGATAAATTATTCTGTTTCCTCCAACACAAAACCCAAGAGCAGTGTATGCAGCCAGGAGATTAAAAATAAAGATGTGGGTGTTTTTTCAGAGAAGTGTGTGGTTAAGCTGTGGGACACCTCACTGCAGCATGTTGTGAAAACTTTACAAAGGCAAAAAAAGTGAAATCTATGATGAATTATTGTATACAGAGAAATATTTGACTGACAAAATCTCTGATTCTCCAGTTGTTAGAGGATGGAAGGGTATCCCAGGGAGGTTTCAGTATGGGCCTGCTTTGCTCACATATTCCTGCCAGAGACAGGACAAAAGTCAAGATGAGTCTCAGATATAAACCAACACCTCCAGCTGGAGGTGATTTAAAGGTCTGATTTAAATGTGATTTAAAGAACTTTTTGATCTTGGGACTGCACACAATCCCAAATTTCTTCTCTATACTTTTTAGTCATATGAGCAATTTTTATTCTATTTATTGTAAAGTGATGGCTCAGAGTGAAGTACTTAATTCTAAACACAATTTTTCCTATTTACTGTCAGTATTATTTCTTATTCTCTTAAAAAAAAATCATGACTTGAGGATATTACTAGATGAAATACTTTATGACCATTTGTGCCACATCAGTTGGGTGTGCACAGATTGGTCAAAATGTGAATCCACAGTTTGGAAGCTTGGAATGCTGTCCCAATTGGAAAGCCACAGCATGTTGGAGATCCAGGTGATGTGGAATGGTGGAGGAGAAAGTGGCTGTGATATAGATCAGAAAGTGAGCAGTGCAGGGCTGCTTCAATAACAGCCCAGAAGTGGATGTGAAGCTTCACCTCCTTTGCATTCCCTGTTTCTTCAAGACAAATGATTCCTTGCACTGTAAACTCCTCACCAGTTGACAGGAGTAATTATTTTCCCCATCCGGGCAATTCAAACGATGGTGTTGGATTTCCAGTGTTGAGAAATTTCGTTTTCCCAGGCATATATCTGCCACCTTCAGCATTTTTTATATATGCTCATGTGTCAATTATTTAAAACACATCCATGGAAAAGCAGGCCAGTGCTTTGTCCTTGACTGCAGCCTGTAGTTTTGTTACTCTGTTGTCCCAGAGATAAACTTGTTCAGACACAGGTGTTTCATCAAACCATTCACTGATGCGTGGATGAATAATGGAGAGAGCTTTAAATGCTCCATATTTGTCTTGTTCTCCTCCACCTCAGACCATTTTTCTGTATTTTCCTTTATAGACCAGTCTTGGAAGTTCCACAAGAGTTTCTGCACATGGTTAGTGTTTGTCTTGCACTGACACCTATCTTCAGGGATTTTCCAGCAGTAGTGATCCATTACTCTGTCTCTGATTGCCTGTAATCCATTTCCCAGCCAGAACATTTATATTTATTATTTTCTCTAATTACAACAATAAGAGCTGACTCATAACTCCCTGGAGCTCACACAGCTATGTCAAGTTAGAAACTGCTCTGAAGCTTTCTATACCATCAGTCTTAACTACCAGGATTTGCAAATTATTCTATTTTCACTATTTATGAACTTCAGCAGCAATTGAGTGCAGGCTGAACTGATAGAAACTGGTTAACACTGTGAGAAAAATAAAGAATATCACCTTATCCTATGACAGCTACCACATTCTGTGCCACTTCCATGACTCTAAATGAAAGCCCCATTTGCAGCTCCTGCCAATAAAGTGGTACAATAGGAATTTTATGAACTACTCATACAAAGATTGCCATTCAGTAAGAACTGGATGAGCCAGAGAGGTTTCAGATAGGTACTATCAAACACTGAAAGAGGATGTAAAAAGTGGGATGATTATTTCTTTTTGCTAAAACAATTTCAAGCCACAGCAACAGATGCAGAACCACTGGCATACTCACCACAGTTTGCTTCATCTGACCCATCTGCACAATCTGGGTCTTCATCACACACCCACAGCTTGGAAATGCAGTGTTTGGTTGTTTTACACTGGAAGTGGTCTGGAGAACAACTGTTTTCAGCTTTAAATAAAAGAATTCCAGATCAAAATTAGAATTTTTTGCTAATATTTAAAATATGTCTTTCAAAGAAAAAAATAATTAAGGATTCAAGAATCAGAAATTTGGTATCTCTAGCATAATTTATATATCTGTAAGAAAAAAAACCATTCAGGTTTATACTGCTTATAGTTTTGTCATTTTCTTATATATTATTTTATATAAACATTAAGGTAAAACAAATATAATGAACAAAGTGTCTATTGTGATATTCTTTTAACAGCAAACAGACTTACTATTGATAGAATCAAACCACTTAAGCAAAAATCAGGCAAGTTTTTTACCTTACCTTTCAAAAATGCCAGTTATAAATTCTGAGAGTCAGTTTATAAGACTGAGGCAGCTCTGGATTCTTTGATCAAAAACAGAATCAAAATTATGCATGATTTTTGTGAAATTCTGTGTTCTGTTAAATTGGGCAAATGTTGAGAAAAGTTTGACAAATATTTCACTTTATCAGTTTAGAACAACAATTTTTGAATGAATCCTGCAGCAAGAAAAAGATGCAAATATGCAGCTGAGCTTTCAGCCTATTCTTTAAGGATGGTCTAAGTTAGAGTTTAGCTGCATTAACCTTAGAACAGCCATTTAAAAAAACAAAAACAAACAGATCCTTAGTGTACACATGTGATTCTAGATGTTCTTTAGAGATATGTACTCCAAATCATTTTAAACTGAATTGACCACAGGGGAAAACCAGGAAATGTTTGATAAGGTTTTCCCACATTAATGTATGTCTCACCTTCACCTAAGGAATTTTGTAGTGCCTTAAAAAACTTTCCTACCCCTGTTGAAAAAGAATTGACTCCCTGATATTATCATTCCTGTTCCTCAGGTTTGGCAAGAAGAAAAATTTTAGGTTTGCTAAAAGTTGGTGCAGTATTTCATTCAGTGTCACGTTTCCATAGACTTGGGTATGTTCCTAACTGTACCACAACAACTAATTCTGATCCTCAGCTAGGGCACACCACCAGGGGATTTCACAGTGCTTCACAAGAAGGACCAGCACAATGACCTTCATTGTACAATTGGAAAGAATTCAGTATGAAATGTGACTTTGAAAAAGTCACCTGGTAAGCAAAACAGAACAGTGGCAGAGCTAAAAAAACAAAAGTATTTTATGGATCCCAGACTGGTGACATTAGAGTGAGAGAGAATCTCACCTGTTACCTGTCTGTGCCAGGAGCCCAAGTCAATATGAACTCACAGCCCCTGAGCTGTAGACTCTGCTGCTCTGATTTAACTTCTCCCAGCTACACCTCAAGGTTTTTGGGAGCCTTTCATTTACCATGTGCAGTTCTTTCCAAGGGAAAAAAATTAATCTCCCTTATCTTTCACAGGAGCTTTCCTGATCCCTCTTAATCAGTTTTTAAAGAAACCCAACATGCAAACCAACAAAAAGAGATTTATGCAAAACTTGTATTTACATCTGTCCTGAGCAGTTTGGAAGACAGCCACTAAACATGACCATCCACAAAGCCTTTCTGTCCTTAGCAACCCTTCTCCCCTTGGAGAAGGATTTGTTCCTTGCAGAAATGCAGCACATGAAAACCTTGAGAAAGCTGATCCAGAACAAGCAGCAGATCTGAGCAGTGAAATCAATAAAAGACAGAGCTACATTTCAAGGCAGCCCCATCATCTTTGTTACAAAATGATCAGACAAAAACTTATGCAACAAATTTCCATTATAAATCTAAACATATTTTCCCACTTATATCTAAGAAATGTAAAGTGAAAATAAATATGTGAAAAGTAAGTTGCACTAAAAGCTGAGCAAATGGAAATTCAGTTACATAGATAAATTCATGGAGTCCCCAGAGAGAGGGGAACAGAAAAGGTAAAAATAATCAATGAAATAAAAAGAATGTAGAAGGAGCTTTGAATCTACAGCTTTTCCAACAAAAGATTCTGAAAAACATCTTTTTCCATTGAAATGTATTGCTGCAAGGCATGGCAGATGAAAGCCTCAAGAAGATGAGTCATTTGTGAGGTTGTTCAGAGTCAAATACGTGTTTCAACCTCAGTCGAAAACCCAATTAAATGCCTGAAATTGTTTATACCCCTCTCTTATTTGCAATGACTTTAAATTGGAGTTAATAAATGGCATTTTAGTTTGCTCTTCTGTATATGAAGCATTGCTCACCAGTCCTGTGAATTAACTGTTTGCACGTTCTCAAATTGTTTTAGACAGAGGACATTTACAGTGTTTTATTCCAGTTCCCTGTTTAAAACCAGCTACAGAGCAAAATTCTCTAAACATAACTTACGACAGTCTCTTTCATCTTCTTCATCACCACAGTCATCCTGGCCATTGCATCTCAGGTTTATTGGGATACACTTCTGGTTCTTTGTGCACTTGAATTGCCCTGACAGACACACGTGTGTGTCTGTAAATTAAAGGAAAACAAAAAGAATAAGTTAAAAATGATCAAAAGTTGAAAAGATTCAAAGCTTCAAAGGCAGATGAAGAAAAATGACGTTTGATGACAGAGTGTGAAACATGACATTTAAAGAAGTTTGGCCTGTTTCTGAAGCCTGCAGTGCATACAAGCACCTACCACAGTTCAGTTCATCAGAATTGTCCCCACAGTCGTTCTCTCCATCACAGATAAACGCTGGGAGAGCACAAAGCCCAGTTCCACACTGGAAACGTCCTGGCTGACATCTGAATTCAGCTGGGAGAAGACAAAACTACTTATGAATACTACCAGAGCAATGGTTAAAGCCTCACTATTGCTGTTCTTACCCTGTGGACTAATCCAAAAATACCTATAAACTTGTATTTCCTTTATCATCTCAATCTGAGTAGATATTAGTAATTAAAGGGTACACATATGATTGCAAGACTAATTTCAAAGTCTGGTATCTTTCATTTGTGCAGCTCTAGTTACAGTGCTAATGACACAGAGTGAAAACCCCCTGCAGGTTGAAGCTTACCGAAGGCTCAACAGAGACCTCAATGCTCAAGTCTGCTTTTAAGAAATTCCCTATCCCACTGTAATTCTATTTCCCAAGAAAGGGAAATTCCTTCTCCAGCCACTGTCATTAGAAATAATGAGCAATTATGTACCTCTATAGTAATATTATATATATATGCATAGAGTAGCTTAAAATAAAAATCTTATGTAGAATGATTACATATGTCAGAGGTCTTCGTAGCAGGAGAAGAGAACTAATTATAAAATTGTAAAAATAGGGGTGAGGGATTTCAAAACAAAACAACAAAAAAATCGAATTAATTGTTAATTAACCAGAAGATTGTAGAACATACAGAGCATTTTTTTTCAAGTATAAGCTTAAGGAAGGAAGGCAAGGATAAAAGGGAGAATATTGTTATTGCTCAGAAAACTGCACTGAAGAATGTGCATCTAAATGCCTACAATTGCAACAAAACACAAGCAAATGATATTAGAATCCCACATTATTATTACACAGAAAAAAAAAAAAAAGCCAAATAAACCTGTCAGAACTTTGTGTTCATGCAAAGAATCCCAGAACCTCAAAATTAAAATCTTTAGTGAAAACGTAACCGGGATGAAGTAAAGGTTTGAAAGACAAAAAACATGTATGATTTTCCAAAGATCTTAAAAGACTCCGAGACCAAGGAGCACAAAGCAGTGCTGCAAACAGAAATGTCCATAAAAATCCTCTTCCTAAACTTATTTATAAAGTGTTCTATTTGGCTTGGGCCCTGGTGACGGAGCAAGATCCCAGAGCCGGCGCGCACTCACGGCACTCGGCGGGTTCGTCGGAGCCGTCCCCGCAGTCATCCACTGTGTCACACTTCCACCAGAACGGGATGCATTTGTCGGTTTTGCAACGGAACTGCAAAGAGGAAAGGCCAGCAGGAGTAAAAGATTTCATGTTGACATTTGTCCATCCATTTATTTATTTATTTATAAGCAGGAATGGCGCAGTTTAGGAAAATCAGCTCCGCTGTGAGACAGGGGCTTAGAAATTTAAGGTAGAAGCCAATTTTGGATTTAGTTGGAGTCTGCTGTTTGAACTTGTTCAGTCTGTTAACTTGTGCTCGAAAAAAAAGAAACAGAGATTCTCTGCAGATAAACCAATGGAGATTCAAAGCTACTTAGAAAAGAATGCAAGCATCCAAGCTGAAGAGAGATAAAGATGGGCCCCACCGACCTTGGGGCTAAAGCAGACAGAAATACTGAATCTGGGTTAAAAGCACCACATTACAGGTATGTGACTGAAGAACCGTGCAGGCTCATAAAAATTGATAAGACAGTTTAATACATATGCATATGTCTTTTATGCATGTGCAACAGGCTGGGGGATAAAATAGACTCAGGAATTTTTGGAGGTACACATGTCCTTTAAAGGAAGCTAACCCACATGTGTCCAATGCTAAGATAAATCATACCAACCACAACTTTTACAAGTTGTGGAGTGTTTTTTTCTGCAAATCAGCTGCTTGAGGCACTGATGCATTGATAATTTTTTGGCTGTTAATTTTACAAAACTTGTATATTAAATGAAAAAAAGCTCTCCTTTTTTTTATAATGAGAGAAAAATTAGCTTATCTAGGTCAATTGCCAAATAGCATTCAGGTACAATTCAGATTCAGTGATATCAGCAGCTAAGACACAATCATACCACTCACATTCTCTGACATTCCCTCAGTCTAGCAGTATTCTTCAGCAATATTAACACTTTCAAAGAAACAGGTTAAAAGTTTTCATAACACTCTGTTCCTCTCTTAAAAAAATAGTAACTTGTACTGTAATGCAACTTAACAGCTCCTTACTTTCTGCCAGTATTTGGGTTAATTTTTAAGCACATAAATTATCGCTCCACTGAACAAGTTTTGTTAGATGTATTTAATACTGGATGTGCTTAAAACATTAATCACAGATTTATGTTTAAAAGCAAAAATTTGAAAATTTCCACAATCTGAAACAGAACAGAAACAATCATTGCAGATAGATGAGCATGCAGTACCTCAGCACATGGCTACTCAGTTAAATACATCCATGTGCTGCTTGGAAAGCAGAGACAGGATAATTACCATCAGGCTGCCTGTAAGAATGATACACCTGGATGTCTGTGATGGTGTGCCACGAGTTAATCAGGGAGAGCCTGTCCGAGCCAGAGGTTTTGTGGGCACGGCTGAGGGATTTGGTTTTCCCGTCTGTCCAGTAGATGTAGTCCTCAAACAATGTCAGTGCAATCACCCCTGGGATGTCTTGATTAGGGACTGGAAGGAGAGATGCTCAGATTAATGTTCACCCTTGGGAAAGTGCCAGTTAAAATATTCCCCACTGTAACTTTTCCTACTCTTTGTATAAGCAACATAAATTGGCTCTTTTACTGGAATAAAAGTTAATAGAAAACTTCCAGAACATAACATATACATCTCCTGATGCTCTGTTTAATACCCTTTCATACAATTTATAGCATTTTATTTCATCAAAATGTACTGACAAGAGAGACAGGAAAAATAACAAAACATTGGCATTGAAATAATCATTGCAGTAAGAGGGATTATTGAATATTTCTAGCATCACCAACCACACACACACAAAAAAAAAATTAGAAAAATCAACAAAGTGATGATGATAGTCCATAGCTACAGTATCACAAAATTATGAGCCACCATTATTTGAAAAATGATGGAAGGACAAAAGGGAGAAAAAGCTTTGGAGCATTCTTTATCCTTCAGTACACTCCTTAACCTGAAGTATTTGTTCTTGGTAAGCAGTAACTGAATGCCACCTTTCTTTTTTCCTCCTTTAAACATCAATAGTAGCAATCATAGATGTCACAGGAGAATATCCGACCACAATAATTAATTTGTAAATGATAATCTTTTGTTGCTGAATCACCTAACAACTGATAAAGGTGAAAAGGCAGAGCAGCTGTCACATTTAACTAGCACATCTTTAACACCTTTACCTTGTCTTCTGCATTTTTTTACCTGAAAAGTGTTGACACAGTGTAGGCAAATCTCAAATTCCTGTTGGGACATTTTATAGCTCACTGAGATCTGATGACTGCTACTGAGTATATGGAACAACAACTTAGAAAATTCAATTTTCTCTCCAGTACTCCTCCCTGTACTGAGCTCCAGTGCAGGGCATGCTGCCCTCTGGTCAAGGAGACCTTGCTGCTTAGGCCTGAAATCATTTTCCCTTCTTATATGTCTCCATGAACCACATCTATCACACTGAAATAAGAATATGATATTTTTGAAAGAGCTTCAGACCATTTCCAAGAAATCAGTCAAAGTCCAAAGAAATCTTGGCAAATTTAATCTGAATCCTCATTGCAGAGGCAGCTTTGTCACAGTTCCATACATGGTAGGTACAAGAAAAGCTCTTATAATTTCTGTGATTGGAAACATTGTGTGATGTTTCCAATGAGAAATACAAACCAGGCTGGCAGGAGAAGCAGGATGAGACAGCAGAAGCTGCTGCCCTGAATGAGGCACCGAAGCTTTCCATAAAACTAATTATTATATTTTTGCTTCAGTTCTGAGATAGTATTGGTTCCTAAAAATTATGACCCTTGCTTCTACTTTTGGCACCAAATTAAAGATATCAAAGATCCCACTCCAGTCTCTCTAAAGACAAAAAATGTCCTATTTTATCTGTTTTCTCTTTTTCTGATCAAAATTAAGTTCAAAATCAGAATAAAAGGGCATATAAAAGCATTAACATACATGAAGAGATTTAAATAGAAAAAATTATTTTGATTTCATCATCTTTATTATTACCAACCAATGTAAAATACACCTAATAGTCATCCTTATTTTGGATATCCAGGAAGCAAACCCCATATCCTAAGCATAGATATATGAATAAATGCTTATTCTTTGATTTTGTGGATGTTTGTGGGTAGCCAGACAATTTATCTTGCCTTCATTGGATTAGATATACATCAAAATCCAGATGAAACTTTACATTCACGAGCTAAAGGAGATTACCATACACTGCCTGAATTGTCCCATCACACTGCATTAACAGGAAAGCCAAGTTAAGTGTGTGGCACAAAATATTAAATATTACAGTTAGAACACTGCACAAAAGAACATTGTTCATTGACTCAAGTACAATTTTCTTTTATTTAAAGAAAATTAAATTGTGAAAGTACCAGGTTTAAAAGCTTAACTCTTTTAAACTTCTTAAAAATAAACCGACCTTATCAGGAACAATGCAACAACTATTAGACTCTCTTCATGTTCTTTAAAAGAAGAATGACAAAATATATTTCTTTCTAAAAATTGGGTTTCCTTTTATTACCATTTATAGGTATAAAGTTGAAACTGTCAATGGTTTAGCATTCAGGGATTCAGGTTTCAGTTTGTCCTGTCACTATTTTTACTTCTGAGCAACTCTGTAATTTTAATGGGCATTAACTTTTCATTAGGTCACAATCAACACAAAGTTGCACCATTTAAAGCTGTAAAAGCTAAATGTATTTTGTTGTGAAACAAGGTTATTAAAAAATCAATTAAGAAAGCAATGAATAGTACACATATATGGAAAGGAAAATCCATTTGAAGTAAAATAGAATATAACTACAGAATCACTGGACAACTATTTCTGACAAAATTTCTACACTGACCATAAAAATATAAAATTCTTATAAAAGAAGTATTAGTAATAATTACGTAACAGAAAAACTTACAAAAATTTCTTCTAAGCTGACCATAAAACTCAATGCATTTTCTTGTAGAAAATGAACCTGTAAAGCCTGAGAGAGTTTTCTGAAATCAGGCATTGAGTGACCACCAATTCTGACTTACTTTATTGTTTAAGGAATAGTTCCATCATAGCTGAATACAATTCTTCTTTGCCTTTTAGTACGTTATAAGCAAGAAAACATCAAAACTGTTGACATGTAAGAGGTTACAGAATTTACAGTTCCCATTGACTGTGAATGACCAAACAAAAATGGACAGAAAACTGAGGTCATTTTTACATCTGATTATCTGATGGAGCAGTAAAATAGTCTCTCATACTCTTTAGTCTTTGCCTTTGAGGACATCAGTGTTTCACACTTTCCAAAATTTCAGGCACTGAATATTGATTTTTTTAGAAATGTATGGAGTAGAAGAAACACCCACTTCCTTTTTTCATTATTTCCTGTCACTCCAAAAAAGCTTTAGCTGATTGATCTCACCATAAATGACATACAGTACTAATACTGTATGTATAATACTAATTATTAACCCTAATTAATACTAATTAGTAACCCTACAGCAAGCTCTGTGGTGTGAATTGCAGTTTTAAACAGGAGAAGCAGACTCATTGCTCCTCTTTCTTTGGCAAGCACTGCAAAACCAGATTATTTTGTGTGAGCTTAAATTAAAGGCAGGTTAGCCATAAAAAACCACCTCTGTTTCCTCTGCATCAGCTATTTGAAAACATTTTATTCCATTTCAAACCCATTAGTAAGAAAGGAGCATATTCTGTTAAAGCTAAACAATTTACTTTGGTGATTCCTTTCTCCTCCACAACCTCCTCCTCTCAGAGCTGGGCAAGCTCCTTGCAATTCCTCCTCTTCCAACACACCTGGAACAACACACTTGCCGACTCTGATTCTCCAGTGTTGTTTCATTTTACCCACAAATCATGGATTTTCTGACACTGAATGCTAATCCCAAACAGGGCTTGACCACACAGGTAGATGAGAGAAGGGGCAAGAAAGAGGAGGCAGAAAGGAGAAGGAATGCACAGACCTTCCAGAAAGCTGCAGAAAATGGGAAGAAAAAACACAGGCAGGTAATAAAAGGGAAAAACGAGGAGGCTTGTAACAGATCAGAAGTGGTAGGAAATAAAAATTATTAGATACTTGAAGACAAAAATGACAATATATAATACAATAAAGGAAGATAAAGTGCTGCAAGAACTTAAGAGAAGAGCCACAGGAGGGAACATGGTTATGTAGACACATAAGAAACATGACAGACTCAAAGTATATCTGTCTCGCTCTCTCCTGCATTTTGTATCAATTTTGATCCAAGAATATAAATTCATAGGCTGTAAGTCATATTTGTGATACAAATGTTTACTTTTCTCTGAAAAGTGAACTCTGCTTCCCTTATATTTTCTGAGCACATTTACTTAAGTATAAAAAAAATGTTCATTAGACTTCAGGAATGAAAATCATTCCATCTAGGATTCCTGAGCTAGAGAACCTGAAGCCATACAGAAGTGAAGCCCAGCTCCCTTGGCTCTTATTGAAACAGAAGTTTTTCCATAAGTAAAAGCAAATACAATAAGTCAAATAATAATTTAAAAGGTTTCACTGGCGGATGGTAAAATCAATGTACCAAGAAAAAGTGTCCTTTAAAGGACAAATGTTGACCCCTTCTAAGACAAAAACAAAATTATCAGTGCCCTATCATGTCCAGAAGATGGTTGATCACTTCCAAGACAGAAAGAGATGTGTCCCTTCCCTTTCCAAAAACAAGGGACTGCAACCTTGCCCTGCCCTTGTGCAAACATTACAAAAACAGAAGGGGTGAAAGTTTCCTGTTAGGCTCTTCCCAAAAATTCACCCAGCCAGTGCTGGGAAGCCATTGCTAAAGGTAATTAATTATTGTTAAACAACAATTTAAATTACTTCTAGCTCCCTGTGGCATTAGAGCAGTTTTCTGTTCAAGAATTTTGGCACCCAAACACAGAAAATTTACATGGGTGACCCAACCTGAAAAAACAGGCTATACTATTTTGAATTCCACTCCCTGAAACTTGATTTTCTGAACTGCAATAAAACAGAAATAAAAAGCCTACTGACATCTCGATCTAAATGGAACCAGTGGTAATCTCCTAGGAAGGATTACAAGCCCTCCAAAGGCAAATTGCATCAAGGAAGAACAACACTTAATAAGAAAATAGCAATTAAACCTACAAAACCAAATAAACTTGGAGATTGCTGATCTCTTCTGCAGCATTCCTGGCCCCGACTGTCCTCTTGCCAAGTGAACTTCCTTGTAGCTGTTTTTATCTCATATATCTCATTTTACATTCAACTTGGAGCCTCTCTGAGACACAGTCAATACTTTTTTTATTTCCTATACTACTTACTTCTGATGCTTATTCCCTTTGGTAAAGAATTTGAAGTGCTTAGTCCATAAAATTAATAATGAATAATGACAATAAGATTATCTCTATTAAGCTTGTGACAAAGTGTGCAGTTCTGACAGATATAATTAAATTTAAGTATATTACATTGCATTATATATTACAT